TTTTTTTTTATAAGAGTGTAAGTATTTTAAACATGGTGACCTGAATAAATTCAGCATTCTCCCTGTCTACATTTTCTCAATAATTTTAGTTAGAAAAGAGATTCTTCATAATTTCCTGCCCTAAACTCTTTCATTGTGTTGCTATGAACTGATAAACAACCATCTCTTTTTATCTCCCACGTAGCTGGTTTTCTGTGTAGGTGTAGTAATTTATCTGCCCAGATTATCAGAGCATTTCCCTGCCTTCCTATATAAATCTTGGCTGCCTTGCAGGGATGTTGGGTCTGAATTAGTTATTAGTAAAATACGCTGAGATTGTCAGATAAAAGACACTGTAGCCATGCTAAATATCAATAATAATATTTGTAGTAGCTGCCTTGAGCAGCCCTGATGCCTTAGAGTATTTTTTAACAGAGAGCTGTATAATAAAAATTAATTGAATTGCTCATCAGGTTGGTTTTCAGATTGAAATTTCTATGGTAGCATGTTAATTTGGTTTAATGCATCTGTTGGAAGCTCTGTTTAGGGACGCTTCCAATTTGTAAAAATCCCTGCTAGCATCTTGTGCATGTTTTGTGAGTATTTTACTAACAAAATTGATCAAAGTCCCTACATCATCCCATTGTGCTCCATTAAAATATCAATATCATTTTTTTAAAAAGCTTCTAAAAAGTGCCTGTTGACAGCACTGGAAACTGATAGAATTTTGTTTTGTTTTATTTATTTATTTTCATACATCTAGTACAGCTTAGCCAGGAGTGAAGTCAGTGTTTCAGTCAATGTAACTCAACGTTAGTGTGGATTGACTGCTCTAAACATGAGGGTAGTTGGGTCTCCATGTCAATGCAATCCTTGACCTATTTATTGAGACTGTCAACAAGGGTCCAACTTATGGTGGTGGTTTCTGTGATATAGACATTTCCTAGAGACTGGGTTCAAAACACCCATTTATTTCACTTATACTACTAAACTATTTTGAGGCAGTAATTACTTTGGATCGCTACCAACCTATATTGAATTCAAACTGGAGATTCCTGCTGCCCTGATCCTGACACAATGTACTGTAATTGGTTCTTTCTAAAAGTAAAATAAACACCAAAATCCTATACTTAAATGTTCCATATTCACTAGATTTAATGAATTATTCCTTAAAGGGCCAATTTCTATCAATATTTGGTGTTTTTCCTAAAAGTCCAGTTCCTGGAGTCATTTCATTACAGGAGAATCTCAGTTTGCAATCTTATGGTTGCAGAGCAAAGCTTGAAAACCTGAATTCTAAATGCTGAAAAATCAGAAGGCAAATAAACAGAACCCCAAATGTATTATTGTATTGTTAAATCCCATGATTTGTTTTGAGACAAACTCATTTGGTGGTTGGGGCTTGTGGGGAAAGAGGAGGCAGGAAGAAAGGGGTTAATATTAAATCCTCGACTCCTTCACTTACAAATTTAAAAACAATGTTAACTGTTGTTAAATATTGGAGAGTCATGTAGTATTTTGGTTCTTTAAAGGTAGCCAAGTGGCAGAGGGAGTTCAAATCAGCTAGCAGATCCTACTCTCGGAACTGTGTGAATATGTTACCCATGATATTTGGTGCTAATGGCATAGCCATTTTGACTTGTATTTTGTAAGAAATAGAAACGTCAACTTGCTAAATGGAGAAGGGCAAAACAGTGGAATAGGGGAAGAGAGGTTGGATTACATAATTGTACTGGTGTTGATTTAAATTTTTTAAGTAATAATAGAAACATTAATTGTCTGAGCCTGTGCCAGATATCCCTGGTGAAAATATATTTTGAAATACCTGTAAATAAATATGTAAATAGGGTATTTAAAATTTAAATAAAAAGGGAAGGGGAAAAAAAGTCAAGTCTCAACACTAATATTTGGAATAGTTTATTGTTTATTAGGGCCTTTTCCAAATGACATGGCAAAGTATATTTTAAATCTAATTTAATTAGATTAATTTTAGTTGTTTACTCCCATTTATTAATATACTCAAGTCAAGCATTTTTCCTTTAACCTCCTGTTCTGTGCAAATCTAAACTGGACTACGAAGAACTCTCAGGAGTTTATACATACTAGCTATTTTGAAAAATGTTATGACTGTCTCTACCTTTTGTTTGACTTCCTGTATCTAATTGTGCCTTTATTCCTTTGCAAGTGAAAAAGAAATAAGTTATCGAGTGAGATTTGCAAAAGTTTTGTTAGCCATGAATTTTTGTTGTTCATCCTTGCTTTAATGATGATTTCCCTTTGAAGCTATGATAGCATGAGCAATATGTTTCCGATAGATTATGATTTATTCAAAAATCTATTCATCAGAGATCTTTGGGATTTTTCCAGCAAGAACTTCCATAATACATTAAAAAAGCACTCCTAAACCATGTCAGTTCATCTGAACTTGAATACATTATTACTGTATATTTTTACTATACAGATTCTCTTATGAAGACTGCAAGCTATTGCTATATAGCCTTGCAGAAATATAGGTGTGCACTGGGCTTTACGCTGGCCAGATTTGCATATGGCTATTTTCCTGTATTTCTTCTTGTGCGAGACATCTCTTCTTGTGGTGAAGGTATTAAAGTAATGGATAGTTTCACAATATTTTGTTCTGTGACGTTCTATTTTCATATCTATTAGTATCTACTATATACATTTTCCTATTGTCTGTTTTATTTCTGTTTAGCAACAACACTTGTCTTCCTGTGAAAAGGCAAATTAGTAATGGTGGTTTTGGACCTGAATGCAAGAATTGCAGCTGACACATCAGAACAATTTCTAAATGTAACAGTAGCTTAGTGAATATGCTTAGCATAGCTCTGATTAAATGTCTGTGTGCTGAGACTATAATAAAAGGAAAGTAATGATAGAAATTGGAGAGGGAAAGAATGTACTAGGTCATTGTGTCCAGCCCTCTGCCAATGAAGGATTGATCTTGGTGCTTATGAAATGTCTTTATTTAATGCACCCTCTCTTGTGTTAAACATTGTATTTAGGTAGTTTAAAGTTCATGTAATGTACTGACTCAGTTCTGGGCCCTTTTAAAAAAAGAAAAAAGGAATCCATTGAATGTGAATATTAGATGCTTAAATACCTCAGAAATCCACACTACATAACAAAACCCTACATTAATTTAAGAAAACAGCTGCAACTTAAATAGAGATAGCTAATAAGATTAGGGTATTTATTTCAAAATAGTATGCAAGTAGCGGACACCATAAAACTCCGTGGTTTTGGCCTGAGACCTGTTTTTGTCTGAGCTCAAGATTCTAGAATAAAACTGCTATATGGTAGGAAAGTAATAATAGTAATTGTGTGGTTTTTAAAAAAACTAATAGTGCTTTGTATGTTTAGCTTTCTGAAAAATACAGCTTACTGCTAAAATAGTGTTGCAGCTTGAAAGAGAAACTTCACAATTCCTCCAGAACAGCTTTAAGAAATAAAATATACTGCCACCATGACTTCCAAGATATTATTTTTTATGAAATTGTGTTTGCTTTGTGCCATATCCAGAGTTGTCATTACAACCTGTCACATGGCTTTGTTCCATGATGCTCTTCAGTTGTTCCAGTTGTCTTTTCTTTGTACTATATTTGGTAAGAGCACAGGGATGGATGGTGTGTTTGTCTTAGATAATGTGCAATTTGGGCCTGGAGCACTGAGTCCTCTCTGACCCACTGAAGTACTATAGCTTTATGTCTAGGAGGATCAAGAGAACAGTTTAAAAAAATCATTAGAAAACGGGACTGATTTTCAGAACTACAACATCTGGTAATGTTTGATGTAAAATAAAACCATCAGATTTGGAACTGTCTTCCCCTTTAGAACAGGGTTATACAGAACTATGCTTTGTTGCCAGAAGTGCATTCTACCTTTTGAGCTTCTCTTTCTTGTTCCTAAAGGTAAGAAAGGAGAATAAGCTGTAAGAAAATGCTGGGATCCGAACGTGGTGTGGTGGAAGAATGGCTATCAGAATTCAAGGTCAGCTGAGTAGGTGTATGACAATTATAATGTTGTTTAATGGCATATAATGTTAAGAATGCTAATGATTAAACGTTTAAAGTGTAAAAGCTTCTTTTGATTTTTAATCTTTTGTATCTGTTCTACTGCACAACGTGTAGATGTTTATAGAAAGGTATTAATATAAAAAGCACAATTTGGAATACAAATATGTATTATAATAGTACAGAGCATATAGCATACTATGCAGATCTCACTTCAAAGCACATAACACGCTGTAAATCAAGCTGATAGAATTTAAAGGGAAACTGTCAACTTGTTCACAAAATTTAAAAACTTAACCAACTTTTTATTAAATCTAAGATTAATAGAAGTGTTTCCACAATTTAAAAAACTCCAGTGAAAATAGTTTTTAAAAAAATATACCCTCCTTTGTAGAATGGATGAACAACTCCATGCTTCAGATGACTAAGGACGTGAAAGTGTCTTGACTGTAAACCAAATCTAAACATCCTTTATTGAGCTGAGAGAAATATAAAATTAAACAGCACATAGAAACAAGTAAATTGAATTTTTAAAATACTTTCACTTTTAATAATCTGAGGCTTTATCATAGGTTTAAAAAAAAGTTTAAATTTATATAAGGTTTCGAAAAGTTCCTGGTTGAACAGGGAGAAAGAGAAGAGGAGAGGATTTAGAGACTAGACTGGGTTTGTGGCAGATAATTTTAATATGGTGCGGCCCAGAGCTGTATAGTGACCTAGTCCTGGAAGTTGCTGAATGTCCTCAACTACCACACAAGTTGATGAATATTCATAGCATTCAGCACCAGGCAAGATTGGGTCCCAGCACTGTAAGGTTTATGGATAGCTTGCTTGCTTGAATCAGTACTGAAAGGACAGAATTCCACCTTTACTAGTGTAGTAAGTTGTGAATTTGTCTTGACTGAAGCTCAGGGATTGTTGTTGTTGTGTTTAATGTTATCAAAACTGGATTTATCATGTTCATAGATATCTATCAATACATGAAAGCTTACACATGAACTACTCATTATAGTAACTGCTGTCTATATCTCTTACTTTAGGCATTACCTGAAAATCAAATCTCCGGTTATGCATCAACGTTGCATCGGAAAAAATCACTGGTGCCAGCTCTTTATAAGGTTATTCAGGACCCAAATAATGAGGTAGGAGACTCCCAGAGAAGGCATTTCCTTTTTCTTTTTCTAAATAAATCATAGTAATTAAGAACTGTCTGTTGCTGTTCTAACCTGGGATTGATGCAGGGAAAATATTCTTTCTCCGTTTTGCCCCTTTTTCTCTCCCTCATTTTTGACTGTTGCTGAATATCTCTCTCTGTTAGAAGGCAAACCAGTTGCTCTCAAAAGAATGTTGAACACTGCTGCTGGGTTTGGCTGGTCATTGTGACATAACAAGTTTTAGGTTGTAACTCAGTCTGAGCTGCTTTTTGGAAGCCAGTTAGCCATAGCTGAGACAAAGTACTCTTTAGACTAATTTGGCTTGAAGAATTTTATTTTATTCACTCATGATTTATTAATTCGGTGGAGAATGGAATAAATGTCCTACTCCAGTATGAAATTATGACTAGGCCTGATTTTTCTTTCATTTACACTCCTGTTATATTTGTGTAATTCCATTGCTTTCCATGGAATTACTCTTGATTTATGTTGGTGTAACTGAGAGCAGAATCAAATTTAAATATGTACAGTGAAAACATAGCTATGAATGTGGCTCATGACTTGGACAATTAACATAGAATTAAGCTTTCCATTCCATAGAATACTGGGGAGAGGATGAGAAGGAACTACTGGAAAGTCTTATGGATGAATCTAAACTCTGAACAAATTACACAAACTTGCCACTTTATGTTGACACTTCTATATAGTAATCATCAAAAGAGTCAGGAAAGATTTGTCATCTTTAGTCTCTTGTGTACTTTTAAATGAAAATGTGAGGAATACACAGGAAAGTAGCTTCTTATCTTCTCAGATACAGTCTCCAAGAGAGCCTGTGCTGTTTACTGGATTGAATTTGAAGAAGTTCAGGTAATCCTTTCCTAACAAGCAGCTTGATTTTAAAATGCTGCTTTGCTTTTCTGGTAGGACTAAAAGCTTGTATACCGACCTCTCTTTTTTCCTCTCAGACTGGGAGGGTTGGAATTCATCTTGAAACTGCTGTAAATTGTAACAGTACTATTGCCTCTGCTGTCCCTCTCTGTCTTGCCATCTATACCTCTGAATGTTTCAAAGGTTTTCCCTTACACAGAAAAAAAGCATCTGATTGCACCTCCATAGGTTACAAAGTTACAAAGAACCAAAACTTCAAAAGGAGAATCCATTTTAAGGGTCTGACTCTATTGTTGTATTATTGAAAATTGACTCATATCTAAGTAAATTAGGGCTGTCAAGCGATTAAAAATATTAATTGCAATTAATAATAGAATACCATTTATTTAAATATTTTTGGATGTTTTCTACATTTTCAAATATATTAATTTCAATTACAACACAGAATACAAAGTGTACAGTGCTCACTTTATATTTATTTTGATCACAAATATTTGCACTGTAAAAAAAAATTAAAGAAATACTATTTTTCAATTCACCTAATACAAATACTGTAGTGCAGTCTCTTTATCATGAAAGTACAAAAAAACCCAACAACCCTGCATTCAAAAATAAAACAATGTAAAACTTTGGAGCCTACAAGTCCACTCAGTTCTACTTCTTGTTCAGCCAATTGCTAAGACAAACACGTTTTTTTACATTTGCAGGAGAGAATGCTGCCCGCTTCTTGTTTACAGTGTCACCTGAAAGTGAGAACAGGCGTTCTCATGGCACTGTTGTAGCCAGCGTCGCAAGATATTTATGTGCCAGATGCTCTAAAGATTCATACGTTCCTTCATGCTTCAACTACCATTCCAGAGGACATGCGTCCATGCTGATGACAGGTTCTGCTCAATAACGATCCAAAGCAGCGTGGACCTACACATGTTCATTTTCATCGTCTGAGTCAGATGCCACCTGCAGAAGGTTGATTTTTCTTGTTTGGTGGTTCAGGTTCTGTAGTTTCTGCATCAGAGTGTTGCTCTTTTAAGACTTCTGAAAGTATGCTCCACACCTTGTACCTCTCAGATTTTGGTAGGCACTCCAGATTCTTAAACCTTGGGTCGAGTGCCGTAGCTATCTTTAGAAATCTGATATTGGAACCTTCTTTGTGTTTGTCAAATCTGCAGTGAAAGTGTTCTTAAATCAAAAAACATATGCTGGGTCATCATCTGAGACTACCGTAACACAAAATATATGGCAGAATGTGGGTAAAGCCATGGAGCAGGAGACATACAATTCTCCTCCAAGGAGTTCAGTCACAAATTTAATTGACACTTCTTTTTTTTTTTTAACGAGCATCATCAGCATGGAAGCATGTCCTCTGGAATGGTGGTTGGAGCAGGAAGAGGCATATGAATGTTTAGCATATCTGGCACGTAAATACTTTGCAATGCTGGCTACAAAAGTGCCATGCAAACGCCTGTTCTCACTTTCAGGTGACGTAAATAAGAAGCGGGCAGCATTATCTCCCGTAAATGTAAACAAACTTGTTTCTCTTAGCGATTGGCTGAACAAGAAGTAGGACTGAGTGGACTTGCAGGCTCTAAAGTTTGACATTGTTTTGTTATGGAGTGCAGTTACATTAAAAAAAAATCTACATTTGTAAGTTGCACTTTCACGATAAAGAGATTGCACTACAGTACTTGTATGAGGTGAATTGAAAAATATTATTTCTTTTGTTTGTCATTTTTACAGTGCAAATATTTGTAATCAAAAGTAATATAAAGTGAGCACTGTACACTGACATGTGTCTGACGAAGTGAGTATTCACCCACGAAACCTTATGCTTCAATACGTCTGTTAGTCTATAAGGTGCCACAGGACTCTTTGTTGCTTTTTACAGATCCAGACTAACACGGCTACCCCTCTGATACTGTACACTTTGTATTCTGTGTTGTAATTGAAATCAATATATTTGAAAATGTAGAAAAACATCAAAAAATATTTAATTTCAATTGGTATTCTGCTGTTTAACAGTGTGATTAAAACTGATTAATCGCGATTAATTTTTTTAATTGCAATTAATTTTTTTTTTAGTTAATCGCATGAGTTACCGGCGATTAATCGACAGCCCTAAAATAAATTTTAAAAAAACCTAAATCCACCGCTTTGGCTTCTGGCCAGGTATTTAGGAATTCATGCTAGTGCATATAGCATGCATCTGAGATCAGAATCTGCTCCAAAAATATCAGCTAAAATCTTGACTTTCAAGGTGGCAAGACTTTCCTTAGCATATTTCTTCCAAACTTATTCTACATAAGGGAAATATAACAACATAATAGGCTTTTTTACAATGCTGCACTAATATCTAGTTCTAGGAGGTGGGATCTTCATAGGACTATAGGATTCTATGTTGGCAAGAGGATAACTTTTTTTGCTTGTAGACTTCTATTATTCTACCACATGAGTAGTAAAAATCTGGGTATAAGGAATTAGGGAATGTATTTTCTAATGAAGAGGGGTATATGAATTTTTACCGTAACTCGAGCCTCATCATGGCTGTACCATTGTTTAAAATCTACAGTATTATTAAAGAATAAAGTAGATTTGCAGCATTCAGATACGCTCTCATCATAATTTGCTTTAAAAACAAATCTCTCGAAGACTGCTGGCTCCATAGTAGGTTAACACATACATTACAATAATATTATCCTTCAGAGGTGTGTGTTTTTTCAGCATGATGAACAGCTGCTAATAATGCTTGCTCTCCAGGGACAACAGTTATACTGAGAAATTAATGTCAAGTAAAGTTAGTTTAATTTTGCAAAAGTATTAAATTCCCTTATGGGTCTTAATATAGTGAAAAGATTGAGAAGGGCAGTTTTAAATAAGGTATTTAAATAAAATGAGCAAAGAGTGCTCATAAGTGGCTTATTTAATTGAATAATGTGTAAGTGGGGCACTTGATATTTTCCTTACTTTTTAAAGTACAATTTGTTCATTGACAGTTCACAATTTGTTTTGTTTGGTTCATTGGTATGGGGCAAAGGCAAGGGCAAGTAAATTAACTGAAATCTATATCTACTCCATGCAAAAAGTAACATTAATGCAGTGTTGAAGTTGAAAAATCATGTACTCAAATCAGGACATCCAGAGTTAACGTTGAAAGCTCAATCTTTAATTAAAAAAAAAAAAAAAGCATGTATTCAGTGCTTTCCCGTGTTCAAAGTGCTTTACAGACATTAACTGATTTCTCTTAACTTTCCCCCTTTATGCTTATGCCTTAAAATAAGGTCATTCATTCTATCATGATAAAATACTGGAATTTCTTATGTAACCATATCTTGTATAGTATATGCAGTCATGCATATGCAGCTTTAAGACCTGGCCTTACTGTTAAGATTCAGTGAAATCTACAAAATGAACCAACTTCCTTAAAACTTGGTTTGCATTGTACACCTGGCTGAGATGTAAAAAATCAAACCAAGGTATGAAAACTGCACTGTTATGTAACTTACTGTAGTTAAGTCTCTATACGGAAATTCCATTTTGTATTATGGTATGTATTGTGTTAGCTGACATTTATATAGGTATAAAAGGCCTTTTGTTAAGTCATGAGGAAAAGAAGATGGTTATTGGTTTGGTATAGCCTTAACTGTGCATTTTTTGACTGAGTGCTTGATTTCGCAACCTTTTTTAAATTTGGGTGGCAGTGCAGCACTTTGAACGTGTAATGTGCTATATGTGCTAAGTATTATAGTAAATATGCTAAATAGAATAACCAGATATTCAATCATGTAGAACAAGGCTGTTTTTTCCATCAAGGGGATCTGATGATGGCTTGACTGGCTTGTGATGCCAGGAAAAGCCCAAGTTAAATAGGAGACTCTTGAAGTGCTCTGCTTTCTTGCTTATATTTCTTACATTTATTGTTAAATCCCTATATTTTATTTCAAAATACAAGATTTTTTTCTGCTAACCTTTTCCTGCTGCACAGTCTTCACCACCCTTTGTTTAGTCTCTTGCTTTAGTTACAAAAAGTCTTTTCATTCAGTGTGAGGAAGCGGTCAGCCAGAAACCTTGTTACACAAGGTGCTTGTATCAGATCGTTGTATAATAAGAGTTTTGACTGATTTTCTACATGGATGTGATGTCACAGTTTATGTAATCAACTAATGGTTTAAGAAATGGTACGTTTACCATCCATATTGTACAGTATGCTAAAAATGAAACTATTGATTAACCTCACCTTTTTGTTGAAAAAATGTAGGAGTTACTTTAAGACAATAATGGCCTAGGTTGTATTGAATTAATTTTTAGTGTCACTGAGATTTTTAGTTGAGTAAAGGCCTTTAAATCTGTGCATGTGTATATGAATATATATTTACATAGCAATACAGATGTTTACTTCCATGCAAATTTGTTGTATGTTCAAACTAAGCACTTATAATGAGAGAGAAATAAAATAAGATTTCTGAAGGTGGTAAGACATGGGTTTCTCATGTCATACAAAAAGCGATAATATGATTTGATGTAAAGACTCTTGTATATCTCCCTGTCCTGAAGAAATACAAGTAAGTGATAATGAGAGAGAGTGTTTTTTCTGATTAGAAAAGGGGACTTTTAGTTAGGAGAATCTGGGCTCTGTGCTTAGATTCTTCCAATAACTTCCTGTGTGACCTTGGACTGGTCAAGTAACATGTCGGGGGGGATAGCTCAGTGGTTTGAGCATTGGCCTGCTAAACCCTGCGTTGTGAGTTCAATCCTTGAGGGGGGCCATTTAGGGATCGGGGGCAAAAATCTGTCAGGACAACCTTGGTCCTGCTGTGAAGGCAGGGGATTGGACTCAATGACCTTTCAAGGTCCCTTCCAGTTCTATGAGATAGGTATATCTCCATATTAAAAAAATAAATTAAATCAGTTGTGCCTCAGTTGCCTTCATCTGTTAGAAAACTGAGGCACACAGATGATAGTCACTGGATAGAAAGCTTTCGTCACTTTCAAAACTTTTGAGTGGCTTGTAGATACTGACCTAAGACCTGAACCAAATCCTATTGGGAATCTGGCCATTGACTTTAGTTGGGGTTTAAATGAAGCCTTAGGTTTTTGTTATTTTCTGCTCTGTGAGTTGAGCACATTTCTCAGACGCATCTGATATGTCTGTTCACCAGAAAAGAAAGTTAAGATGTATGTGCTTTCCATGGGTCTCTGCAAGGTGGAGACCTGGGTTCAAATCTTAATTTAGGTTACAAATGAAAAGGAATTATTCACCATTTTGTGCATATCACAAAACTGCCAGTTAGGCACAATTGGCTATTGGAATGCATGTTTTTTGTGGGTCCATACCGAGTTGAATTGATAAGGGCCTTGGGGAAACTTGGCTACTTGTATTGAATCTAGCTCTAGTTAGTGCTAGAAAGCCTTTCCATTTGAAGGGAACCAAATTAAATCAAGACTATCTGTTAAAAAATTAGTTTGCCCACCATTGAGCAAAAATGCCCCCCCGCCCCTTCTTGTTTGTGTGTGTTTTAAAAAAAAAAAAAAACCTTAGGTAAAGGGTTAATTCACTCTCTACCCTTACACTGGATATAGACTTATCTCACTAATAAGTATTTCTTTTTCCACACCTGAGATTTTTCTAAAGCATTGGGGTTGCAAAATGAACATACTGTATGGTCTGCACAGCTCAAATCATCTCACTGGTAAAAGAATTTGGTGCTTATAGAAAGGTGTCATATTGACAGAGTTGGAAGATGAAACTGCCACAGATCAGGTACATTAAGGGCCGAGGTAGTGCGAACTTCATCACAATCCTCATCAATGTACCTCAGCCCCATTCTTGAAGACCATGTTTAGCAGGGAGTGGGTAACTTAGTCTCCATGCCCATTCAATCTGTGGCATCTCTAAGGTTGCCAACAACGATGCCAGTTTTGCCAGTTGTGGTGGTTTTATTTGTGCATTTTTTTAATACACAAGATTAGCGGCAGTTGAGCTGTTTTTTCTCTTTCTATAGCTCCTGGAACCTGTCTGCCACCAGCTCTTTGAACTCTACCGTAGTTCTGAAGTTCGACTCAAGAGGTTCACGCTGCAGTTCCTGCCAGAATTGATCTGGGTTTATCTGCGTCTTACTGCCAGCAGGGACAGACAGAGTAATGGTTGCATTGAAGCACTGCTTCTTGGGATTTACAATTTGGTAAGTGAGATAAGGAGGGATGGGTGTGAAGAGCTTTAAGATAATCAGTGAGCAGTAGAAATAAAGTAAGGCACAGGAATATTAACAGAGCAAAATATGAAAAATGCTAATGAATTAATGCAGTTACATTTAAGTATGTTTATCCTAGAGGAAAGCATAACTTAATGAGTGTTCAGAAAAAGCATGTTTGTAGAAGCATCTTTGGTAGCTTGTAAATCAGATTTACTGCCTCAGCACAGCACTAAACATTATGGTAAACAATTAAATTTTTTAATTAAGATTTTTTTGTTGCCCTGTGTAATGTGCTTGCTAGAAGAATTTAGTAAGTCTGTATAAATATATAAAGAGTTGAAATTTGCTGATAGCCCTATCTGAACAATATGCTTATTCAGTCTTTCCATATTGGGCTTCTCCTATTTAGTTACTCCAAATGACCTTTTAAGGTGAAGTATTGAGGCTAAAGTAACATTCAGTCACAAGTTGTGCATGGGTGGGAAATATCTTTTGGCTGGGACTATAAAAAAAAAAATCATCATCATAATAAATGTTACAGAGAGTCCTGTGGCACCTTTAAGACTAACAGGTGTATTGGAGCATAAGCTTTCGTGGGTGAATGCCCACTTCCTCGGATGCATGTAATGGAAATTTCCAGGGGCAGGTATAAATATGCTGGCAAGAATCAGTCTGGAGATAATGAGGTTAGTTCAATCAGGGAGGGGGAGGTCCTCTGCTAGCAGTTGAAGTGTGAACACCAAGGGAGGAGAAACTGTTTCTGTAGTTGGCTAGCCATTCACAGTCTTTGTTTAATCCTGATCTGATGGTGTCAAATTGCAAATGACACCATCAGATCAGGATTAAACAAAGACTGTGAATGGCTAGCCAACTACAGAAACAGTTTCTCCTCCCTTGGTGTTCACACTTCAACTGCTAGCAGAGGACCTCCCCCTCCCTGATTGAACTAACCTCATTATCTCCAGACTGATTCTTGCCAGCATATTTATACCTGCCCCTGGAAATTTCCATTACATGCATCCGAGGAAGTGGGCATTCACCCACGAAAGCTTATGCTCCAATACATCTGTTAGTCTTAAAGGTACACAGGACTCTGTTGCTTTTTACAGATCCAGACTAACACAGCTACCCCTCTGATAATAAATGTTATTCACTGTAGACTCCTAAATTTGGATGTCAAAAACTTAGGGATGATTTCAGGCTGTCAAAAATAGTATTCTGTCAGGGACATTAAATTATGCATCTCATACAAATTTATATTCTTAATTTTTATGCCAATATGCCATGGCTGGTAAATTTGCAATATTATTAGCATATGCCCTTTCTTATAATGAGAATTTCAATTTTACATGGCTTTAAAACACAAATTGTCCTAAAATATTTTCCTTCTCTGTTCCATTATAACAAGTTTTCTTTTAGCCGTGCGTTAGAGTTAGTATAGAGTGCTTTATGTTCATATGCCTGGGAAGTGAGACATGGAACCAAATTCTGATCTCAGTGACACTTGTAAATCCACATTAACTCCAGTAAAGTCAAGTTACTCTGGATTTATGCTGGTGTAAGCAATATCAGAATCTGGCTACTAGCTTTTGATTTTTATCTGCTGGGCTGAAGTAGGTTGTAAGTATCTGTCATTAGCTTCAGCTTTCATCAAGGCACTTTAGCTGGTCCTTCTGGAACTCGTGTCGGATGATTCACAGTGTATAAGCACAGCAGCTAATGCTGCTACATTCTCTCCAAACTGAAATAGAAGGTAGAGGTTGTAAAATGGGGAGTGACTCAACAACACTTTTCTCTAGCTGAAGACACAAGTATCTTGGCACCCAGCTGCAGATGTCAATAAGAACCTAGAATAATGATTCTTAACCTATTAATCATTGTGGGCTGCAATGAGTTACCTGGGCTGCAGGTTGAGAACCACAAAACCTCCCTGTGATGGGTTGGATCACAGAAAACCCCTTGGGAACTGCCAACTGATGTGCCAAGACTACTTCTGCCCCTGCTCTCCCTGCCAGTTCGGGACCCCGGCACCCTGTCTTGTTGAGCCAGACATGCCCGTCTGTTCCAACACAGACCCAGGGTCTGAATTACTTGCCCCAAAGCTGCAGACTTAACTGAAAGCAGCTAACAAAAGTATTCTTGTCTTTAACACTCAGATGCCCAACACCCAGTGGGGTCTAAACCCAAATAAATCCGTTTTACCCTGTATAAAGCTTATACAGGGTAAACTCATAAATTGTTCGCCCTCTATAACACTGATAGAGAGATATGCACAGCTGTTTGCCCCCCTCCCCTCCCCCAGGTATTAATACATACTCGGGATTAATTAATAAGTAAAAAGTGATTTTAAGTGGTTCCAAGTAGTAAGAGACAGAACAAAGAGAATTACCAAGTAAAATAAAATAAAACACTCAAGTCTATGTCTAATACAGTAAGAAACTGAATACAAATAAAACCTCACCAGTTTCAGTAAGCTTCCTTTTACAGACTAGTCTCTTGCAAGTCTGGGTCCAGCAATCACTCACACCCCCTTTACTGTTCTTTGTTCCAGTTTCTTTCAGGTATCCTGGGGGTTGGAGAGGCTCTCTCTTTAGCCAGCTGAAGACAAAATGGAGGGGTCTCCCAGGGGCTTAAATAGACTTTCTCTTGTGGGTGGAGACCCCCTCTTCTCTTCTATGCAAAGTCCAGCTCCAAGATGGAGTTCTGGAGTCACCTGGGCAAATCACATGTCCATGCATGACTCACAGTGTTTACAGGCAGAAGCTCTTGCCCACATGGTATCTTGAATGTCTCCAGGAAGACTTCTTATGTGGATTGGAGCATTCCAAGACGCATTGTTTCTTAAGTGCTTCCTGATTGGGCACTTAACTTTGTGAATTCCTTTCTCCAGGAACTGACCAAATGCTCTACTAAGGTTATTTAGAAATCAAGCCAGTACACGGCCAGTATTCATAACTTTGAGTACAAAAATGATACATGTATACAAATAGGATTAATAGATTCAGTAGATCATAACCTTTACATAGATATGTTACATGGCATATGTAGCACAGAACATATTCCAGTTATGTCATATATATTCATAAGCATATTTCCATAAAGCCTTATGGAGGGTGCCGTCACACTCCCAAATCCTCCCCCACCACCACTATGCCCAGTGCCCCCAGCCCATAGACCCCTCTACAGAGTGGGGCCAGGAGCGGAGCCCCGGTGGCAGGACTGGGCAGCAGGGACCCTGGACTCAGGTGTGCGGGGCTGGGCGACAGTCCCTACCCTGCTGCCAACCGTGCCCCCTGTCATGCGGGGCAGGCCAGCATCCCCGACCCCAGACTTTGCTGAGTGGGGCCGGGTGGCAGCCCCGACCCCAACCCCGGATCCTGCTGTGTGGGGGCCGGGCAGCAGACCTGACCACGAAGCCGGACCCCATTGTGCAGGGCTGGGTGGCAACCCCCACCCGACCCCACTGCCCACCCTGACCCTTGCTGTGTAGGGCCGGGCAGCAGCCTCGACCTGGGACCCTGCCACAGGGGCTGGGCAGTGACCCCGACCCTGGACCCTCCTGCAAGCCCCTGCCGCTCTTTAGCAAACAGCTGGGTGCTAATTGGGCCGCAGGTTGAGAACCACTGAGCTAAAGGATAATATTTCTGATATCTTCTCTGTGAAAAATTCTCTGATTTAAATTAAAGAAAAATCCTTCCTTATCTTTATTGCTGTTTTGGTTTTTAGAGTGAAAAAGTGCTTGAGAAACTAATTAAATCTAGACAGACAGCAGCTTTATCAGTGCAGCCAACTCTAGTTTCCACACTGTTCCTTGAAGCTAAGTGGAAGTGGTACACTGCCTTCAATTGATTGTCACTGAAACTAGAGTGATTCATACTCAGTGTGTTAGAAATTTTATTGTAGAATGTGAAAAGATGGGGTTTGCTGACTCTGGCATATTTTTATAGGATTGCTTCTAATAAATTATAATTATTATGCTATAACACAAGCACACCATATGCAAATGCATCTTTTATTGACGTGAAAGCTGTATTCAAAATATTCTATATATCCTTTACTGCTTTGCCACAGTACTTGCAGAAATCAGTCCCCTCATTTTCACCTTTTCCCTTTTGATGGGTTTATCAAGAGGCATTACCAATTGCTAGCAAATGACTCATCAGCAGTAATACATATATATTCCTTTGGCCCTTCAGCATCAGTCTTGTTTCACTATGTAATTCTATGCTTTATAAATTAGAGGTAGGACTAGAAAAATCTTTTAATCCTTTCCTAAAGGTCTGAGAAAGTCGTGGTCACAAAAAGAACAAATACTCTTCTATGAATTTTCTTAGGCCCTGATTTTGCAACGCAATCTATTATAGTGGAGGCAGTCCCATTGACTTTTGTGGCACTGTGCACAGGCATAAAGGCCTGTGCAGATTAATCACTTTGCAAGATCGGGGCCTTACTTTATGATTTATGTTTTTAATGTCTGTGTGGTATAATCACAAGAATCCAAAACCAAGTTCCCTCATGTCTCTTTCTCTGCTGTAGGAAATTGCTGACAAAGATGGGAACAACAAAGTTTTATCTTTCACCATCCCTTCATTATCCAAGCCGTCAATATACCATGAGGTAAGCGTGCAACTGTGGTGGTAAGTTGGAATTGGGTCCAATAGGAACTAAAATTGGATCCATTCAGTGCATCTTTCTTCATTGAACTTTCAAGGGTAAATTCTTGCAACACTGTAATTTAATCCAATAGAAGTAATAGAAGATGGGGAAGGTAAGTCTTCAAGGTGAATAATGAAATACTTCCATCTGATATGTTATGTTTTGTTCCGTTTGTTTTCAGTTTTTCATTGATTTACAGATTCCCATCCTTTCACATGTCTACTGCTTGGATGCTGTTAGCATATTTAAAGCATGGTTCTGCCTTATCAAATACTGGAACAAAATGATCCCAAAATTAAACTACATTGTTCTGCTGTACATACTAGTTATCTGTTTAAAAACCCTCCTTTGCCCAACTCAGCTTGTTCCTGTGTTTTAGTGCTACCATAACTTTGTCTCCAACGAGATGGAGATGACCAGCTGTAGTTGATGAGCAGGGAGCACTACACATGTTCCATAAACGCTGCATTGTGGTGGGAGCTTTGGGAATGTGGAGGAAAGTGGAAACTGAAGAACTTTGATCCCAGACTATGACTCATGAGCTGATTTGTAGTAGTCTGCAGCACACGATGTGCATGTATTAGCCCTTGTTTAGCAGTGTTTTCCTTAGAATTAGTTTCAAGTGGATTTTCATTTATTTGGCTCTCTTTTTATATTAAATGTGTCATACTAAGATATTACTAGTGAAATCGTGGTCCCACTGAAGTCAGTAGCAAAACTCCCGGTGACCTGAATACGAATAGGATTCCCCTCTAAGATTTTTTGCCAACAGTGGCTGTTCTTCAGGGTTGGAGGTAAAAACAAACATTTCTTAGTAAATAGCTATGTCAAGGACATAAAGCAGTGGTAAGTTATTTTCTTCCAGTTTTCTCTTTGTGTAAAAATGGACACAGTCCTCTTCTAATTCATAGCTCTTTGCAGTCTAAAATATATCTGAATAACAGTCAAAAGTTTCAGTGATATTACATCTGTCATTGTGTAAATTACTAATGTGTGAGGTGAAAGGCGCAATGTATTACTGCACTGGGCTTCTTCCTCTGAACACTGGGTTTAAATCCTGAGTACACTAATGTAAAAGTGAATTTGTAGTCTCAGTCTAGTCCCTAGCAGATGTGTAGCCACATCACAAAATCACTGTAAAATGAACATAGGTTTTGATTTTCATATGAGACACCCAGGATTTAAATAAAAGATGTTGCAGGTCAGTATTGAGGTGCGTTGTTGCATCTGGAACTATGTAGGGCAGAAGTTCTCAAACTTTTTCTAAACATTGAACCCCTTCTTACTAGAGCAGCAGTTCTCAAACTGTGGGTTAGGACCCCAAAGTGGGTCGCAACCCTGTTTTAATGGGGTTGCCAGGGCTGGCATTAGACTTTCTGGGGCCTGAGGCTGAAGTCTAAGTCAGAGCGCCACTGCCCAAGGCTGAAGCCGAAACCCGAGGGCTTCAGCCTGGGTGGCGGGACTCAGGATACAGCCCCCCTGCCCAACACTGAAGCCCTCAAGCTTTGGCTTTGCCCCCTCCCTCCCCCGGGTGGCAGGGCTCAGACTTTGGGTTTGGGCCCCCTGCCTGGGGCGGTGTAGCTCAGGCTTCGGTCCTCCTGCCTGGGGTGGTGTAGTAATTGTTGTTGTCGGAAGGGGGTCACAATGCAATGAAGTTTGAGAAACGCTGTATTAGAGGAATTGCTTGTGAACTACATGCTCCTTCTATTTGCCGTCTTGGGAAACAACCTCTCATCCTATTTGCAATCACATAATATCCCTAAGGCAATGACAGCAATTTCTAACACGGAAAAGTGATGACTGAAAGTGTATTAATACAATTTAACAACTGGAAACAAGAGAGCCAGCACCATATAACCCTTCATCTTCTAGCATTTGCAGTGCTTGCTGAGTCACCTGACAGCAGCTTAGGCCCCATCACAGAATGAAGGGGCCTAAGGACACCATGAAGTCTGGTTAGTTGAACTCGTCGACAGCATGCACCATTGACTGACGGAGACCATGTTGACAAAGTGGGTTGGCACAAGACCCCATGTATAGAGGTTGGCTGCAGCATATTTCATATGACCAGCCAGCTTGTTATAGACCACCAGCACATGCTTCACAGACAACAGTTGGACATCTATTGATGTCGGGCAGGTTGCATAGCACATACCCCCACTATTTCCCCCATTTTCATGTGGCACTAGATATACCTCAGTCCGAAAAATCAATGTCCATTAAGTTCTCCAAACAAAATGGAGGGCCTTGATATGCCGCAGCTTATTTAGTATTAGTGGGTGTTTTGTGACTAGTGCTCTATGCATTGAGTTGAAAATGTGGCTCTTGGGTTTTGATCTATGCAAGCTATTTGCATGTAGTTGAAACTGAATTATTCTGCTGCTTTTGTCATTTTGAGGGGGACAGAGTCAACTTGAAATTTTAAAATGTGAGTTAAAAGTAGCCTCAAGTATTCCTCCTGATTTTCCCTGTCAATGTTTCTTGGTTTTGCAATCCTATTTTTTTAATGCTTTCTCTCCCTATTGTTGCCTGAAACAATATGGGAAACAGGGAAACTGACTAGACACAAAATATAAAAGGTAACGAAAAAGAAATATTATTTCTCTAATCCTTCAATGCTAGTATACTTAATTTTTATTCAAACCAACAACACTTACCAGTATGTAAATCATTTCAGACACAAGTGTGATTGGCTTAAGTTGACTGTGTCCCTTTAAAATATTTTAGGAATAATCTTTAGCTGTTTTACAGATTACCACAAGGGAGAAGTAGAACTTTTTCTAGATAAAATTTCATGGGTTTTGGATCCTTCTTATGGTAGCATTTTCTATTTTTATTTTCCCCATGCCTTTCCCACCCAAGCCTTCTACTATTGGATCCATGGCTTTGACTGAGGGAGCCCTATGTCAACATGACCTCATCAGGGTGGTTTATAGTGATCTTCATCCTCAGAGAGAAACCTTCACTGCACAGAACAGGTGAGTAGTCAAGCGGTAGATACTTCATTAGTCTGAAGCATAAAACAACATTGGGTCAATAGGCCTGTATACAGTGAGTACCCTACCTGTCTGGCTCGTCTCTTACAATTTAGAGCTTGTAAGTCTGTTACTAATTCATTAAATATAAATAATTTCTCCATCAGATCCATTTCTGCCAGTGGTGTCGCCAAGCAGTCTGGAAGGCTGATTGGCGGACATAGACTACGTTAAAATAATTTATGGGAAATGCAAACTTTTCCTATACTATGTCTGTCTTCAACCATATATTCTAAAATAGCTTGTTGCATTATTCCTCCATACAATGCAGTGGCATTAGGGTAGTAATCTGTTACATCTCATGCCTTTTAAAGTATTTAATATTGAGTCTTTTGATAGACTATTTCTAGTCGGTGAATTAAAATGGAAGAGCGATACCTACAGGCTGATGTACTGTATTTCTGATGCCATCTTGTCCTGCGAGTGAACCATTAACAATGTTTTTTAAGTTGTTCTGGTGGACTATTAAAAATCTGAATCCATGTAGTTTCTTTTGTCTCATGTTCTTGTCTGTCTTCAGGTTTGAGGTGCTCGGCTTTCTCATGCTGTGCTACAACTCTGCTATTGTCTACATGCCTGCCTCCTCCTATCAGTCACTTTGCAGGATGGGTTCCAGGTGAGGATCTCATGCTTAAGGAACATTCCTAGCGTTATAAATATGCAAAGAAAGAGAATGGGTTTACTCATTCCTCTCTGGTAACTTGACAGATCATAATTTAATTAGAAACATAATGCTGTTTTTGCATACGAAAACAATGCATTGATTGTATATCAGTTGCATTTGCTTTAGTTCTAGGTCTTGTAATGTTTTGCTTTGTGGAATATTAATAGTAAAAACTGTAGTGTGTCAAGACCTGCAGTAAAGGCAAATCAACTGCATCTCTTTATAGTGACCCAGTAACCTGGTTAGTGTACCACCTATTTCCTCTGCTTCTGAATATTAGTCCAATTTACTTTTGAGTTGGTTTGGATGACTGACTTGAACAGCATTTTGACAGTTTGTTTCATAACAACACCACACTTGGAGAAATTCCGCCATCATTTCTCATTCTTTATACCCATCCTTTCCATGACCTCTTACTTGAGTAGTATTTAAAACAGCTTGTTGACATAAAAGCTCTTCTTTTTGTTCTAGAATCTTAAATATCTCTGATACCCCTACACATCTTCTCCTTTGTACCAGCTTTTTATGCTAAAACAAACAGGCCATGGGTGGCTAATCTTTCTCTATAATACATACTCACGAAGCAGCAGAATCCTTTTCTCTGTTTTTTTTATATGCCTTGTCAGCTTCAGCAGTGTATTTCCTGTAAATTGCTGACAAGCATTATACACAATGCAGATATTGTTTTTCCCAGTGTACAGCAGGATCAAAATAGCTTCTATCAGTTTATACTCCATTAGAACACAATACGTACTCCCACCAAGGGTTCTTGCCAGAAGCTGGGAATGGATGTCAGGGGATGAATCACTTGATAATTACCTGTTTCTGTTCATTTCCACTGGGGTACCTGGCATTGGCCACTGTCGGAGACAGGATACTGGGCTAGATGGACCTTTGGTCTGACACAGTATGGCTGTTCTTATGTTCCTATTCTATTCTTTTCTTTTACTTGTTGTTTCCTACAATTCCTTTGTTCCTGAATCTCTCAGAATGGAATTTTTCCTTGATATGCTTCTGTCACCTTCAGCTGAGTTATACCAGGGCTGAGTTTGGCCAAGTGTACTATACTTCTTTACATTTTAAATGTTTCCTTTCTTCAGATATAGAGTGGAATAAAACCTATAACAATGGACTGAATTTTAACACTGAATAATTTCACTATGGAAAATGGTTCCCCGTAACTGGAATTGTAATTTGCACATTGAAATAGTTTGAAAATTTTATTCAGTTTCACCATAAACTGAGCTTTCCTGCATCCAAGTTGACTATAATCTGGTTCTACTATATATACACTTCACACATGTGTGGAGAGCCTCCAAACTCCTGTTCACCAGTGCACCACCTTCTCCCTGTCCCTCCCTAAAAACTAGCTTCTGCATTGTTGCCTACAAGAAGTGAGCTAAAAATAGTCAGGTGGCTGTCAAGGTGTGCAAACCAGTAATTGTGTAAATTGTTATTCTCTTATCTTAGCTCACCCTTTCCCACCTCCTTCTGTTTGTTTGCTACCCCCACTTCTTTTATCATAATTTATCACCTGGGTTTTAGACATTTGTGGCAGAAATCTGAGTTTTACTTCTTCTATAAAGTGCCTAGTACACTTCTGCATAAACAATAAATAATGCTTACCTCTAAGCCTTCTGATTTTTTCTTTCAGTGCATGTAACTAGTCACTTGTATACATATTTGAAGTAAGTCATCCTAAAACTGATTGTTATATCACCCCACTCATCACTCCCCATCCTGAATGGCTCCTTTTCATTGGCACCTTCTGTTTCCTGTCCTTAAACCAATTTTGTGATCTCCTTTCTCATACTTTCTTTCTAACTTTGTAAGTCACTCTGTTCTGTGATACATTATTAAAGTATTTTATGAAATTTAGGTAAATCATGTCTACTCTTTCATCTTGTGCAACAATGCAAGTAATGTGCAGAAATTTGTCAGGCCTGATTTTCCATTTATAGATCTGTGAAAGGTTTTTCTTAACATTCCTTGGTTTAGAATTTGTTAATATGTAGAAATGTACCATATTTCTTCAAATTTCAGTGTTCAAGTACAAACCTAAAACGTCCTATAAAATCTCACAGTACCACAATAACAGAAACTTGCCTTTGTAAAACTTCTCACAAGGTTTTTGTTATGAAACTTATGAATTGCAACCTTACAAATGTCTCATTACTGCTCTCTAGCACAGTTTACAGTTAACAGTGTTACAAATGGATGGTGGTATGAGAAAAGAACATTGCATATGTTTCCATATGGCTGAGTCTGTTCCCTTTGTGATTGAAGTTCAAAGGGAAGTTAGAACATAAGAATGGCCATGTTGGTTCAGACCAATGGTCCATCTAGCCCAGTATCCTGTCTTCCGATAGTGGTCAATGCCAGGTGTTTCAGAGGGAATTAACAGAACAGGTAATCCTCAAGTGATCCATCCCCTGTCACTCATTTCCAGCTTCTGGCAAACAGAGCATGGTTTACATCCCTACCCATCCTGGCTAATAGCCATTGATGGACCTATCCTCCATGAACTTATCTAGTTCTTTTTTTTAACCATGTTATAGTCTTGGTCTTCAAAGCATCCTCTGGCAAAGTGTTCCACAGGTTGACTGTGTTGTGTGAAAGAATACTCCATTTTGTTTGTTTTAAATCTGCTGCCTATTAATTTCATTTGGTGACCCCCTAGTTCTTGTGTTATGAGGAGTAAATAACACATCCTTATTTAATTTCTCCACACCAGTCATGATTTTACAGACCTCTATCATATCCTCCTTTAGTCGTCTCTTTTCCAAGCTGAAAAGTCCCAGTCTTATTAATCTCTCCTCATACGGAAGCCATTCGATACTCGTAATAATTTTTGTTGCCGTTTTCTGAACCTTTTCCAATTTCAATATATCGTTTTTGAGATGGGGCGACCACATCTGCATACAGAGAGTAGCCTTGGAAAATCTAATGCCCTGTGGATTTTCCTGTATTTCTTGTATTTAACTTCCAAGGATTTTGCTTTTCTAAGTGCATGTCTCCACTAAACTCCACCCAAAATTCAGCTGAATAGTCAGTGGCAAATGACCAAGTGGGTTGGTTATTCCTGAGTAAATCTTTCTATCTAAACACGTGTAGTTTGTCAGTGGGAGGCATATTCCAGTTTTGCTGTATGAAAATAACAGCTCCTCCATTAATCTTACAGCAGCATCCTGAAGTTAATTAGAAATTGGTTCAGTATGATACAACTGTTTTGTTACATTATCCAGTCTCTGCTGAAGTGCAGCAAAGCTTCAAGTCAGTGCACTTTCATGTCTTGATGTTCAGGTTCCCAGTCAACAGATTTTCTAGAGATAGCAGGATATGAGGCAGAGGCCTTAGGAGTAAAGAACAAGTTGTTTGGTGGAATAATTTTAGATTTTGGCATGTTGACAATTTGTTCCTAACAACGCCAGGAACAAGAAGCTAAGAAACAAGACCATACCTCAGAACTATGGCATCTGCTCTTCATCTCATGCAAGTTGTACCTCTGATGCAGTGCTTGGTTTTCCTTTTTTCCTTTCACCCATAGCTGAAATTAGACCTCCAGGTTTGTAGATGCTTGCTGGGTTAACCTATTTTCTTTCTTAAATGATTGCTACACTTATTAAATTATTTCTGACACTTTAAAGCACCCAAACATTTGCTCTAAGTGAGTGTACAGTAAAACACTTACAAAACAAACCCATTAGAATAATAAAGCCTCCCTTACCTAGTAAAACCATCAAGACTAACAATAGCAGCCAGCTAAAACCACATACACCTTGATAACACCCTCTTCTTAAAAAGATGGGGAAACTGATAGGCCAAGGGCACAAGTGCACTGTTCTCTAGTTGACTGCTATTCTTATCCTCCATGACATTTCTGAAATCCGTGCAATGGATTTCCAATTTTCCTTGTCACTTGAATCCTAGAATAATCTGGGTCTGGCATTTATAAACCTGAGTATTCCTGCTATCTAATTATCATAATCTGCCCCGGATAATGGTCTCTTCAACATTTCATTTTTCCTCCTGAATACGTGTTTTACCTACAGGAATATGTTATAAATACAAATATGTGAGTGTCTGTCCTTGTTCTTGTATTGCTCAACTCAGCCTTGAGTGAGGAACTCTCACTTGTGTACACACTTGCAAGTTCCCCTTAAAGAAACCCTTTCAGAAGTCAGTTTAGGAACCACCTCCTTTCCATCAGCATCATTTTGACATGCTAGTCTGTAAAACATTGAGTTTCCTTTTCCCCTGTTGTGTGTGAATTTATGCTCATAAACCTGAAAAAAAGTTCCCTAGCTATTCACAGAATAATTACATAGAAACTTCCCCTCCTGGCTCCTTCCAAAGTTCCTCACTACTGACTTGGAAGAACACTGGCACAATGATGAGAGAGGTTGGTTAGATCTTCATACCCATTCATTCCTGACTTTCTCTGCCCAGAGTTGCCAGTTAGTGCCATGTGTGCTATCAGTTTTTGTCCATATTTCTCCTTGCCCACTAGGAAGGGACTGGACTACCAATAAGTTTTATGTAGGCCATTAAACACATATCAAATAATAGATTTTGTGTCTGGATTGGATTAGAACCAGCAAACTGGAGATTAAATTATTTTAGTATTTTAGGCTAGATGATTCTGTATATTAAACAGTGGTTATCTTAGTCTTAGCCAGATTCATTCCCTCATATTTTTGTTATGAGAGAGAGAGAGAAATATTCAGGCATCTAGGGTCTCCTCTGGACAAGTGGTACAAAATGCCGTTTACAGTATTTACTGAAAAGAGGATTGTATGTGGTGCAGTGCTGGCCAAAAGGAATTTTTTTAAATGGAAGATTGGCATTCTCAATACCTTCCTCTGTCATTATCAATATCATCATTGTGTCCTTTGCTTGAGTTAGGTGTTTATACAGCCTTTTCCCAGCTCTGTCCAGAACCTTTATAGAAATTTCCAGACCCAATATTTTGTAAAACTCACTGTAAAAGTTGAGCATTGAAATGTCTGATGCAAGAAAGAGCTAAGATGTTTATCATCAGCCCCTAGGCTCCATTGTGTGTGTTGCTCTTAAGGGCTAATGCTTGTTACATTAGCTCTTTGCCTGAGAAATCCTTGTGGTGAGTGTAAAGAGTAAATACTTCTGCATTAAATACATTAGAATGGTTGTGTGCAGCTTCCATGTTGTTTGGTATTCAGATCTCAAAGCTCTAAATAAAAGTGGTGATTATATTTGTTGAATATATATGATGTGCTTCAGCACTGAACTGGATCAGGGCCGGTGCAACCACTAGGCGAACTAGGCGTTCACCTAGGGCGCCAAGTGGTTGGGGACATCCAAGATTTTTTCCTCCCTTCCCCTCACACAGAGTGCGGCATGGCTGATTGGGCGCCTGGGCTTGATTTAGCCGCTCTCATTGGCCTCCAGCAGGCAGAGTCCCTCCCTTGCTCTCCCCTCCCCTTGCCTCAGCATTGCATCGCCAGCACGCTGTGGGGGAGGGGCTGTGGGCTCCGCAGCCTGTTTGTTTTGGCTCCACATGGAGCCAGCGGCTGGAGCGACATGGTGGTAAGGGGAGTCCGGGGGGGCTGTCAGGGGGCGGGGGGAGGGTTGGATGGGTCAGGAGTTCTGGGGGGGCCTGTTAGGGGGTGGGAGTGTGGAAAGGGATTGGAGCAGTCAGGGGACAGGGAGCAGGGGGAGGGTTGGATGGGTCGGCAGTTCTGGGGCGGTCTCTCAGGGGGCGGGGAGTGGTTGGATGGGGCGTGGGAGTCCCAGGGGTCTGTCTGCGGGTGGGGGTGTGGATAAGGGTTGGGGCAGGTAGGGGGTAGGGTCCTAGGGGGGCAGATAGGGTGGGGGAGTCTCAGGAGGGGGCAGCCAGGGGACAAGGAGCAGGGGGGGGAGGGTGTTGGGCAATCTGAGGGGGGCGGGAAGTGGGAGGGAGTGGATGTGGGTGGGGCTCTCCCCCCTGGTCCTCTTTTTTCATTGATGAAATATGGTAACCCTAAAAAAGCATTACCCTGGCTCGGCAGGGAGGAGCCACCTTCCGGAGGCACCGGAGAGCCAGAGCGTCGGCTTGCAGGGATGGCAAGCCCCAGCCATGGAGGAGCCGGCGCGGCAAAGGGGGGCAGCAGCCCTGCAAAGGCGGCGGCACCGCTAGCCCCTCCTGCCCAGGCTGCGGCCCGGCGCGTGCCTCCTGCAGGTTGCATGTGGTCGGCGGCCCCCGGCTCCCCCCTCGCCGTGCTCGGGCTCTGCGGCTCCCAGGCATGTGAGCTACTGGGGCGCAGGGCCCTGAGCCTACTCTGGGAGGGGCAGCAGCAGTGGCGGCTCACACTCCCAGGAGCCGCAGAGCCCGAGCGTGGCAGGGGGGAGCCGGGAGGCGCATGGGGGCTGCCGCCCACATGTATCCACAGCAGGCGCCCCTGGCGGGGCTCCAGGTGGGTTGCAGCCTGGGCAGGCGCACCCCCCAGCTTACCCCTCACTGCCCTTGGGTTCTGTGGCTCCTGGGCATGTGAGCCACCGCTGCCCCTCCCGGATCAGGCTCAGGGCCCTGCGCCCCGGTGGCGGCTCACGTGCCCGGGAGCCTCATGGCCCGAGCACGGCAAGGGGGCAGCCGGGGGGCACATGGGGGGGCCTGCATCCGCTGCACCCTGTAGGAGCCCTGGGGGGGTGGGTGCCCGGCTGCAGCCTGGGCAGGAGGGGTAGGGGACGCTGCTGCTCCCCGCTAGCTGCGCCACCGCTTTTATAGGGCTGCTGCCCCCCTGCACCGCGCCTGCTCCTCCATAGCTGGGGCTTGCCGCCACTGCAAGCCGATGCTCTGGCTCTCTGGTGCCTCCAGAAGGCGGCTCCTCCCTGCCGAGCTGCTGCAGCGGCCCAAGCCCGGCAAAGCCAGTGAGTGGACTTGGAGCGGGGACCGCCGGAGTGGGGTGGGGAGGGCTCGTGGGGGGGCTATGCACCCTCCAGGGGAGTTCAGGGGGCGGAGAGGGGGGAACCTGGTCTAGGGAGTAGCCTCTGGGCATGGCTGGCCCCTGGGGTCTATAAAGGCTCGTTGGGATTTGCCCCTCAATGAACCGATGTGCGGGGCGGGGGCGCAAGGTGGAAGTTTCAGCTAGGGCGCAAAATATCCTTGCACCGGCCCTGAACTGGATGTGGGGAAGGCAAAGCACCTGCTCCAAGGAGCTGGCAATATAAAAAGATGCCATTTGAAATAATAATTCTTTTCATAAAGAAAGCAACTTTGTTTTCCCCAGTTTATTTTTTGAAATGAAACACTCACCTATTAATATTAATATGTAACAGTATGTTACAGAGGAGATAAGCTCTCTATTCTGTAGCATTAAACTAAACATTCTATCTGAGGCACATTCCCTGTTGTTCTCACATCTTCTGGCTAGCTTCTGAGAAAGTTCTGTCTCCCACACTCAAAACTAGCTGATTGGTGATTTCACCCAAGCTATTGTGAATAACAGTGTTTGGAGTCAGATTATTGGAATTATGGCCAATGTTTCAAGGCTCTGCTGTGAAGATACTTGCTAAAAGCATCAAGAGCTGACTTGAGACTTTGCAGCAAGAAACTGAACAGTTAATGTTTGGCAGAATAATCAGAGCTTATCACCTGAGTGTCTCACATTTAATGGATGTAAAGTAAGTTTTCTTAAAGTGTTCATGAGGGCAGAGTTTTGATTCTGTATTATGTTTTGCCAGGCTTTGCGTGAGTGGATTTCCACGGCAGCATGAGAAACGCTGGAAAGAATTCTGTAACAGAGTGGTACTAGATCCTGACTTCATGGTGCAACTGCTCACAGGTGTCTATTATGCCATGTAAGTAGGTGGAGTTTGGAAGAAGAAGAGCTGGATGGCTTCTAGTGAATTAAAATACCCTCTTTTCTCTCTGTCTTTATGCATGAAAACATGAATTAAGCCACTACTTCATTTGAGGATCAACTGCTTTATCTCCCTTATTTTCCTTTGACTTGCGATCTTGGCCAGCTGACATTTTGGGAATGCCTTTATCAGCATTCAGTCACCAGTGCTGGGTGCTGCAGAGTGGTGCTCCTCGCTTCCTCTTCTTTCCCAGGGATGTCACTTCCACAGTATCCCTTCTCTTCACCAGTGTAATGTTTGCAAGCTTCAAGGTAGCTGATAAACCTGGGTGCCCTGGAATGGCAGTGTGACATGAAGCCACTAGGTTAGCCTAAACACATGAATCCAAAACAATTATACCAAGTAATGTAATTTTCGAATGGTGCCCCTCCACCCTTCTTTACTGTGATCCTTACCATGATAACATCCTTCTGGCTGGGAGATGAGAGGGAACAATTAGTTGTAATATAAATTAGAATAATAACTGAGGTGCTCCATCTATTCCTTTATGCTTTGTTAGTGTATGTTCTTTGTAGATACAAAGAGAAGGGTTTGTGTTCAAAAAGTACTGAATAATAAATGTCTTGTTTTGTTTTGTAGATATAATGGACAGTGGGGTCTTGGCCAGGAGGTATTGGATGACATAATTTACAGAGCACAGCTTGAACTTTACTCTCAGCCACTGCTGGTAAGGAAGAGGCCATTGAAATCATTTTATTTGATTTAAAAAGCATATGAATGTGCTGATAAAATGGATTGCTTTTAAAAGGTTCATTTAGCAGTTACAACCATTTACTACATTCTAACCAGAATTTTATTTGTAGTCTGATGCTTGGTATTTTAACACAGCTACTATTCACATCACGCTCTTTTGCTTAAGTGTTAAGCTCTGGTACTTAGCGCTTATAATAACTCCTTGGTGCTAGGAAACAGGATTTCCTAATATAATGTTCTAGTTTAAAATACATACACTCTTGTAGCAAGAGCTACACAAAGATAACTCCTAGGATATGTCTATATTGCGATAAAAAACTTCTGGCACTGAGTCTCAGAGCCTGGGTCAGGTGACGCAGGTTTGCAGGGTTGTAAAGTTGTAGTGTGGACATTCCAGCTCGGGCTGGAGCCCAGGCCTGGACAGCAATACTGCAGTTTTATAGCCCTGCAACCTGAGCCCCATGAGCCCAAGTCAGCTGACCTGGCCCCGCTGAGGCTGTGCCATGTGTCATTTATTGCACTGTAGACATACTCAAAGGGGTCAAATTAAGTAATCATCTGATATCACATGACATTGGTGGTGAACAAATTGGTATTCTGCTCACCTGTGGTTAATCGGGGTTTAGAATTTGTTCAACTGACTCTACCCACAGTATTCTTGGTGATAGGAGCAGAAATGGAATAGTGCTGAACTTTCTCAGACAGACTTTATCAACAGAGCTATCTGCAGTCTTAAACTGACTGACTATCGCCCAGTCTTAATCCGTTCCATTCCATTCTGCAGCCAGCCCTCCAGATGAGACATTTTTCTCTAAGAATATAGCTTTTTAAAAAAAATATCTACTGCAGTTGCTAGCCTGACCCTAAAAGATGAAAGGAGAGAAATAAAAAAGGAGACCGAGAAAGAAGAGGAACAACGAGAGAGACAGACAAAGGTGGAGGTGATTGAGGGGAAGAAGAGAGACAAATAGAGAGGAGGAATTAAATATTTGTTCATTCTGGTGGGGGGGGTGGGGGAGATTCCAGGTAAGGAAACAAAATCAGCAGAAGGTAGAAAGATGACTGTTGCTGTCTTTGGCACCTTGCACCACTTTTGGATCAGGAATTAATGTGGGCAATAGGCTTTGGTGGTGGTCTTCTGGACTAACACACAGTAAATCAATTTGATAACTTTAAATATTATTTTTCCCCATAACTTAGAGTAGTGGCCTGTTTGCAGAGAAGAACTGAATGGGAAAGATCCAAAGGCCAATCCCAAGATAAATTTTGCACTTCTCCAATAAGTCTGATAAAACTGTTCTCATGATGAATTAATATTGGCTAGGGCACTTAGTTTTGTGCTTTCTGAGTGAAGCATTTTAAATACATCTTATCCAGTGAATTATTAGAACAGCAATTTCCTTTAGGAAATGACTCATTGCACCATTAGATTGGAAGTTTGAATTAAATATTGAACCTGAGGAAGTGGGCACCTATGAGAACATGCTACAGTACAAAAGCATGTAGGTGGATCTGTATTTGAATTCAGTTGATGGTGTAACAGCTTTTAGTCCTGATTAAAACTGAACAATCAGCTTAAAAAAAAAAAAATCTTCTGAGTGATTGTAAATCCTTCTAGGTTATCTTTATTTTTACAATGTTAACAAAAGTGTTTTCTGCCTCTTCTCCTCTTGAACAAGCTATTTGGTAGTTTCTGTCGACTGTTAGTGATTGTTATAGCCTTGTCTCTTTACTACTTCCTTATTTTCCTTCTCTGGTCATTTGCTTGTCCTCCCCAGCCTGCCTTTTTGCAACTATCAAAGGACACTTCAGGAAGCCCTGCCTTTTTCTAAGCATGTTTTACAAAAATTGTAGTTAAGTTCTAGGACAGATGGATTGCATGTCCCTTGTCTTTCTCCATATTAAGGCAGTTGACCCTTCGGGTTCTTTAACAAACAATTCTCTTTGTTTAAATTTTGTTTAAATTTTCCAGAAGTCACATGCAATGTAGCAGCAATATAAAACAATGTTTAAAATAACATTTAAAGCAATTGCTGTCACTCAGTGAAGTACTTCATTTAGTCTCCCACGTGATTTTCAATCCCACCCCCCTCTGGCATATGTAAAGACAACAGCAAATTATCTGAAGTCCATGCAGGAGTGAAAGTTAATTTTTTTAGACATTTGTACCAGGGCATTTGCATAGTTGGGGAAATGTTATTGGTCTACATTAAAAAGAGCAGCATCACAGCCCACTGTATTTGGTGGTTCTTCTCAGAAAACTCCGTGTAGTGTATCAGTGCTCCTGTACAAACAAGATTATGTCCCTTTGTGTTCCTCTAAATAGAAAACATGACCGAAATAGCAGCCTCAGTAAGCTACAAAACAATTGAAGGGTAAATGACTGACTGCCAGCAAGCACCTTTAAATGTTGCCCAGGGGCTGTACCAGAGGCGGAAAAATAATGCAAGAAAAATAACTTAGTCCAGGAAGAAAAACTGAGCCCTGGTCTATACTGCAAGGGGATCGATCTAAGTTACGCAACTTCAGCTACGTGAATAACATCGCTGAAGTCGCCGTACTTAGATCTACTTACCGCGGTGTCTTCACTGCAGTAGGTCGACTGCTTACACTCCCTTGTCAACTCTGACTACGCTTCTCATTCCGGTGGGGTACCGGACTCGATGGGAGAGTGCTCGGTGGTCGATTTATCGTGTCTTCACTAGATACGATAAATTGACCCCCGCTGGATCGATCGCTCCAGAGGTAAGTGTAGACATACCCTAAGTTGCTGCAACCAAATGTTCTGTGCCAGTCTCACAGCAAAGAAAACTTTGTGGGAGGGGCTTCCACAGTGGGAAGTTAAGCAAAAAGATGCAATATTCCTGCCCAGCTACTGTGGACTAAAGAGTGCCTCTCTATCATTCCATCAAGCATCTGCCCTATACCAGTTCAGGTCCTCTGCACAATGCTTCAAAAGGTATTCCCAATCTTTAGTGCAAAACAAGATATCCAGGCTACCCCAGTACGCATACACCCTCAGGCAAAGTGTGTTGGGCAAAATAGTTGATTGTAAGCAAGAGACAAGCATCACTATGCCCACTGACCTGTTAATTTGATTGAGATGCATCCCATACCGTCACTGCTTGATGCCCCAGCCTCTTTTACTTGACTAACTTTGGCTGAGCATATATTCCTCCTGGGAAAGGATGGATGTTTCTGGCCTGTGGCCTGTTCTGCTTTGTCACTGATAGTTGCAAGCTCTGTTCCCAGAAACAGAATGCTGCTTCCTCCATGAAGTCTCTTCGGGCCTTTCAGCTTGGGATCACCAACCTTGGCCTTAATGGGCCTGGTTTGGGATGATAAGGCAGTAAGACAGGATAGTATCATAGAAATGTGGGGCTGGAAGGGATCTCAAGAGGTCATCATGCATCCAGGCCCCTGTGCTGAGGCAGGAACAAGTAAACCTAGATTATACTTGACAGGTGTTTGGTCTAACCTGTTCTTAAAGCTCAATGATGTGGGGATTCCACAATCTTCCTTGGAGGCCTATTTCAGTGCTTAAAGTTAGGCACTGCATCTTTTTGCATCACTTTTCTCTCAGGAGGGGCTGGGACTGATGCAAGTGGACTTTTTAGCAAGTTTTTCCTGCTGGACGAGGTCTATTTTTCTTGCATGCTTTCTCCCCCGCCCTTTTCCCCTTAGCAGTATAATCTGGGTTGAAAGTGCTTGTCAGTCAGTCTTCCACACTTAGGGTTCATATTTTTCTGGAGCTGCTGTTGCACTGAGATTTTTCATTAGCTCTGATGGAGCACTGTCCCTGTTCCTAGGTACTGACAACGTAAACAGACAGAGATAAGGGAAGGAGAAAAACAATGTACATGTTATATCCATGTCAGCTTGATTTGCAATAAGCAGCACAGCAGGATTTTTTAAGAGGGAATATGAGCAGGGGGCAGATGAACAGAGCCATCCCTTGGGTAGGGCGAATCAGGGCGACCACTCCGGGCCCCGCTCTTTGGGGGGCCCTGCAGCCCGGTGCGATTGGCCACAGCGGTCAGTACCGGAAGCCATAGGCGCAGGAACTAGGAGTGCAGGGGGGTGCTGCAGCACTCCCGGGCTCCCGGCCCTGCGCGCCACCGAGGGGGGCTGATTTGTCCCAGACCCCGCACCCCCTAAGGATGGCCCTGCAGACGAATGCAGGGAGATTGTACTATGCATCAGGGAATGCATGGAAGGGGATTGTGAGAGATGCTCACAAACCAAGTGGATGAGGTTTGGGAGCAATAGCGGAACAAAAAGGGTGTGGGGGGGTGAGACCAAACAAAGTTTGACAAGGAAGGATAAGCAGGGAGGGACAGAGTTATGTACAACTCTGAAGGTGTGAAGAATCTTAAAATTTGTTATGTCAGATGGGAAGCCAATGGAGAGATTCGAAGCGGCATGTTACATGATCAAAACAACAGGCAAAGATCAGGTTTGTATGGACTGAAGTGGGTCAGGGTGTGTGTTTGGAGCCAGAGGAGATTGTTGCAGTAATCAAGACAGAATGTAATGAGAGATTTGGCTCTAAGGATGGAGAAAAGGATGAATTTTGGAGATGCTGAAGAGGAAGAAGCAGCAGGATTTGGAAATGGCCTGCATGTGTGGGGCAACGAAGGGGGACAAGTTAAAAATAACCCCCAGGTTACATGCCTGGGTGATGAGAGGATGGCAGCGTGGACAACTGTAATAAAAAAAAAAAAAAGGAAAGCGGAGAAGCTTGTAAACTTTACAACAGTATTACTCTGCTTGTTCCTGAGAACATCCACATACATTGTGTAAAAGTCTCCTTTCTTTTCTCTTGTGAGTTTTCCAAGATAAACTGTTACACTTTTCCAAAGGGCAGATGACTACCCTACTGACTTATTTTTCCTCAGACCTTTTGTGGGCACTATAGAGAATTTTATGCTGTGCCAATAAACTGGGAGGAGAGACTACCCTCTACCAGAATTTCCCCAATCATGGGGAACAATGGGATTACAGTTTAAAATTGTTAATATTGTTAAACAAGACACATAATTCAGATATCACAGCCACTACTTACCCTCCCTTCCTTGGGCAGAACTCCTTCCCAAAGGAATATTTATTCATAACTATGTACAAAATATTTGATACAACCACAGGAATTTAGACAAAGGACGTCTCACAGTTTAAACAATGCATTTTCCTGTGTTTCTCTTCAGTATAGAAGAGACTAAAGGTATAGAGCAGGGGTCGGCAACCTTTCAGAAGTGGTGTGCCGAGTCTTCATTTATTCACTCTAATTTAAGGTTTCACGTGCCAGTAATAATTTTAACGTTTTTAGAAGGTCTCTTTCTATAAGTCTATATTATATAACTAAACTATTGTTGTTCGTAAAGTAAATAAGGTTTTTAAAATGTTTAAGAAGCTTCATTTAAAATTAAATTAAAATGCAGAGACCCCCGGACTGGTGGCCAGGACCCGGGCAGTGTGAGTGCCACTGAAAATCAGCTCCCGTGCTGCCTTTGGCATGCGTGCCATAGGTTGCCTACCCCTAGTATAGAGTATGGACTAAAAGAACATGTTAACAGAAAAGTAAATATAACACTTTCTTGGGGTGCCCAGGACTACAAGTCACCTTGTTAACCCTTTGCCTCAGACAAGAGGGAGTCTTTCTTGTGGTAGTGAGGTGTCAGCTCCCAGATGCCACCAGCCTTTCAACCATTCAAGTAATCACCCCAGGGCTCTACCAGCCGCTCCTTTGCCTTACAATTTAACAACTCTTGGACCCCAGCCCCTGAGCCACTCCAAAAGCATCCCCCCTCTAGAATCCAGCCCCTGTCACTTGACACTCACAGCAATTACCAGGTTCCCTACTCCCAAGGGAATAGTATAAACGCACCAGCCTGTTTGATTCAAATGACTGTCTGCTCCAAGATAACACAGCACTGTAATCTGTTTATTGTGAAAGCAAGTACAGTAGAACCTCAGTTACAAACACCGGAGTGATGAACTGACCGGTCAACCACACACCTCATTTGGAACCGGAAGAGTGCAATCAGGCAGCAGAGTCGGAGGTGAGGGGGGGGGGAGAGAAGCAAACACTGTACAGCACTGTGTTAAACGTAAACTACTAAAAAAATAAAGGGCAAGTTTAAAAAAAATTGACAAGGGAACTGTTTCTGTGCTTGTCTCATTTAAATTAAGATGGTTAAAAGCAGCACTTTTCTTCTGCATAGTAAAGTTTCAAAGCTGTATTACATCAATGTTCATGTGTAAACTTTTGAAAGAACAACCGTAATGTTTTGTTCAGAGTTATGAACAACCTTCATTCCCAAGGTGATCATAACTTTGAGGTTCTACTGTATAAGTTTTGTAACAGAGGTAAAGATTTTAAGAGATCGTGAGAAAAGGTAACAAGAATAACAGGTTACAAATAAAACAAAATTATAACATACTTCTGGAAGACTTAGACTGAACTATAACAAGCTAACCTCGTCTAAAGCAATTTCTCATCTAAGAACTTCCTTACATCATTTCAGCCAAGGTTGTTTGAAATCTTGTTTTCATGGGCATAAGCGCACTGCCCGGTTACCCCCTCAAGCGCAGAATGAAAGAGTGGTCCCTGTGCTTCCCTCTTATACCCCAAAGTCCATTGTCTTTGCACCCCAGAGACAAGACAACCCCCTGTGGGTTCTAGTCTCCAGCATCTTTCCATCTGCCTGTTTCACGGTATGCAGATTTGGCTTTCAATGCTCAATTTACATTTGACGGAGAGACACATCTTACCTCCTGTCTGGAAGAAACCTGTTTGTCAGCTGTGCCTGGTTAAAGACTTTAGATACTACAGTATCTAAACAAAACTTTTTAAATGTCAGTACAGTACATATATTTCACAACAATACAATGACCAGCTTTCATTTGATACTTTACAGGACACTATTTATGGATAAATACTATGAAAGCAATGTGTTAGGTGTAGTGAGTTTGTCAGGCCTAGTAGGAGTTGCTGACAGTCATTAACCCTTTGCCAGTTGGTAGCAATGAGCCTCTATGTCACAGTAGAGCCTCTTGTTAAAGGTGTATACTCAGGCTATGTCTACACTACCGTGGTAAGTTGACCTATGCTACGCAACTCTAGCTACATGAATAACGTAGCTGGAGTCGACATACCTTAGGTCAAGTTACCGCAGGGTCTACACTGTGGGGGGTCGACAGGAGAAAATCTGCTGTCACGTCGGGGGGAGGGAGGGATAGAGTACAGGGGTCGACTGGAGAGCAATCTGCTGTCGATTTAGCGGGTCTTTACTAGACCCCCTAAATCGACCGCCGGTGGATTGATCTCAGAGTGTTGATCCCGGCTGTAGTGTAGACCTGCCCTCAGTTAATCTGATTTCAGTTGAACTGACGTAGGACTATCCATCTCTGGGTTTTGTTCAGTCAATTTTAAAATATATTTCACTGTTTGCATGTCTTTGCCATGAGCAACCAAATAAATTACTTGATTTAAAAAGGGCCATGTCTTGCAGCTCTGTTATACATCCCAATACAAACTTCAATCTTTAAAATACTTCTGTCTCTGCAGTTTCGACTTTTGATAAATCACTGATGACTTTAAATGATCCAAGAAAAAAACAGTTGGGTGACTACATAGCATTGTTCTTCTTAATGCCTGTTAACTGCATTGAAGGAAGAAAAGCTTGTCCTACTTACAATAGCAATTGTTGCTGTATAGGATGGGACTGAGTGAGATTAAAGGCAGAAAAATAACTAGGGAAATGATACCTTGTTACTCAACTTATCACTCCCCTTTGAGTAATATCAGCTTGCTTTATTAGGGGAAAGTTTTAATAAATGTTGAGATCCTTGAATTAAGATATGTATTAATGTATTAGTATTGCAAAGTCAACACAGCCACAGATGATGAGCTGGATTCTATTTTTCTCATCTATCAAAAAAGGTGTGAACCAAATTCTGACTGCAAGTTTATTATACTGGTGATGGTGCACAAGCTGCAAAAACCCCAACTTGACTTTCATATCCTAGTTTGTTAGCAGTTGGCTATTCGAACGGCTATCTTTTAATTTGTAAACTGGGAAGTTTCATCTGGAAGTTACTGAAAGAATAAATGTGGAACCCCATAATGCCATTTTTACAGCTGCTTTTATGTTTACAATAGTATTTTAAGTCTCAAAGCTGGAAGAGATCAGTTGCTCTCTCTTAGAGCTGCAAAAATAGAGTTCCAGCTTTATCAGCAGTTCTCGTACCTATCTTTTATTGTAGAGAACAACTTATTGTGGAGCTTCTCTAATTGTCATGCTGCAGTTCTCTAAAATTTTGTAGAAAACTGACAAAAAGGGGTAGTTGAAGATTGAGAGCTAATCATGTGACCTTTGTGAAGGTAACACTACTTTTATTTATGTAGCCATTGATTGCACTTGTGCTGTTTGTATTGACATGGTTTGTGACCTAATTCTTGAAGGATAGTACTACTGGGTTTCATTTGAAGTCTGACTCTGTTGGAACACTCTCTTTTTGTGCAGTGAATCTGCAGCAAAACAAATAGATCATTTAATAAAATAAGAATGGGGAAGCTCAAACCTTCCTAGGGAGAAGGAAGTCCTGTATAGTCCAGATATGTCAGCTTTGCAATGAGCCTGTCAGTGGTCATGAAACATGAAGTCCTGAAGTCGCTGCCATGTCTATGTGTGGCAGCCTGATATACTGTTGCCAAATCTTTGTCTCCCCATCCAGTCTGACAATGAAATCTGGCACTGCTCTTAGTATAGTTGAGGGTGGTGAATTTGCATAGGATTTTACTGTTACCGTAGGTTGCGAATGCCATGAAGAACTCGTTGCCCTTTGATGCCCCTGATATGTCGCAAGAAGGCCAGAAGGTGCTGAAGGTGGAGGTTACTCCTACAGTGCCCAGGATCTCTCGGACTGCCATTACGACAGCTTCCATCCGCCGCCATCGCTGGAGGAGAGAAGGTGAGCAGTCCCATGGCTCCGCGAATAACATACTGTACTGTGTTCATCTCCATCGTTACCAATTAGCTTCTGAATCTGAATGTTGGCAGAATAGTTTCATTTAATTGTTTTTCGAACAGCAGTATTTTGTAACAATATATAGCGCTTTACATCCTTTCAGAGCACTGCATGGCCATGAACTCTTTAAACCTCACAATACTCCTGTGAGGTAGGTAAGTAAATGTTACCCTCCTTTTACGGATGGAGACGCTTGAGAGGTTAGGTATCTTTTCCATGTTGCGTAGCATGGCCGAGATGCGATTAGATCTTGGGAGTTCTTGGCTCCCAGTCCCACACTCAGTCCGTTAGACCACATTGCCTCCCATCTGTTGGCCTGACTTTTTCAGTGGTCCTGAGCAACCACTGATCCCACTTAAGTCTGTGGGAGATTGAGTTGTGCAGCTCTAAATCAGACCATTTGTTCTTATAGAAAAATTCCTAAACTACTTTTGGGTAACTTATCTCATTCCCCTTCACTCCCCTATTTTCCTTGATGGATACTTGTATTGCTAAGAATAATATTTAATGGTGCAAGGAAGAAAAATAGATGTGGTGGTAGTTTTTTCTTGATGTGGTCAGGTGCACCTTCAGTATAAGTATGGCAAAAAGCTTGCTTAGAAATCACTGTCATATTTAGAAGCTTTGTGTTCCTGCATGTATAAAAACATCCATTGAAAAAGCTGCATAAATGTCTGAAAGTAAAAAGTTGGAACTTAAAATATTGTAAAGGGAAAACTTGATCCCTGGTTTCAAACCCCTGTCCCTTCTTTTACAGTTTATTTTTATGTATCAAGAACTGGAGTGCTTCATGATCTGTCAAGTCAGGTTGCCCAAGCCTAGAAACAAAGGTTACCATTTTGCAGATTTTCAGTCATGTTTGTTCTTACCACTTATATCGTTTTGTTCACTTGCCAGTCTCTCACACGTACAATATAGTTCATCTGCCTCTTTCTGTGGTGTGCACACAAATGTACTCGTGTGTGTATATAAGTAAGGCTATGTCTACACTGCATACAGTGTGGATTATAAGGGTGTGAATTGCGGAGTGCACCAAAATGCCCTGTGTGGATGCTGCTGGCATGAACTAAAAGGCATAAAGTTTGCATTTAACATACTCCTCTTTCAAAAGCGTAGGTATCTTTTAGTTTGCTCCAGCAGTGTTCACATGGAGCAGTTAGAGCATACCATTGTTGTGCACTGTGCAATTTGCACCCCCTATAACCCACTGTACAGTGCAGGGTAGACCAGCCCTAAGTGTGGATAGTGCTTTTGTTTTTCCATGTCCACATAAATCTTCTCTTTTCCCTGCCTGGATTGGAATGCCTAGAAAGGAATAGAAAAAGCACTAAAATTTTGTGTGTTGAATCCCAGATGGCTTTGACTTCTCAAACGAGGCTGACTCAAGCATTCCTGGCTCCCCGATCCAACACGGCTCCACAGACCTAGGGATCAAACGTGAGCAAGAGGGGGAGGTGCTGGTGCGCAGGACTCCTGAGCATGGCTCACCGGAGCCCACCTTGACAGCAGCCACAACAGAGGGTAGGACAGAGAGGAGGCAGAAGTCAGTGAGGCAGTTGCCGGAGGAAGATCCTGGCTCCCTATCCCCAAGCAGAACTTCTTTCCATTCTAGTGCGTGTTTCCACTATCCCAGGGTGTATTAGCTTCTCTTTGCAATACACACATCCCCTATATACCTAGCACCAGGTCAGGTACTACCTTTTGTTATCATGTGGGCTGGCCTGGGGCTTGCATCTCTGTGTGGTGAAAGGCAGCTTGGCATGGCTAACGAAAAGGCAAGGGCAGCATCTAAGAGCATTGAGATTGCTTGGAAATTTCCTATTACTGAGCATGTTTACTCTAATATTTGCAAGAAAAATACTGCACCAAATGAGCATGAGCCCAGTTCAGAAAACCCATTTTAGGGTATAAAAGAATCTTACTACAACTTTAGATTAACAAGATAGTATTGGAACAATGTTTCAAAATTCCAAAGTGAATTTCCTGTCACTGTTAAAGTTGGGTTTGCCTAAGATGTAGATTCCCAGTGTTCTGCTTTGAATAAATTCTTTTATATTTATTCCCCACACTTCTATTCACTAAAGCTTCACCATCTTGTTAGCCTGCGTGAGTGGACTGGCTGTAAACAACCACACCAACCCCCTAAATGGAATCAAGTTGTCACGTTTCCAGCCACTTTAAAACAGTGACTGTTTTTCTTCACAAACAGGTTCTCTTGGTGTATGCTGTTGGATTTTGCAACAGCTGCCCTTGCAGCCACATGTAGTATTCTGTGGGTTGTCTGATACAGGTTCATTTTCCTTTAGTGAGTCTATTAACTTATCATCTGTACTTGGTAAGAGGTATGCTTTCATGCAGTGAATTTGATTCATGACTTCTCTTGGTGGTGGTGGTGGTGTGCTTAATTCCCTGGGCTTTTAGCTGAAAATGTATTCCCAAGAGTCCTCTGATCTTTCTAATCTGTTTCTGTAATTTAAGTTTTCTTTTCTGTGTGAACATTCCTTTGGCATTTCCAACAGTTATAAAGGTCACAATTTCCCTGAAACAGAGAAGGTATTTGCAGACTGTTTCATATGTACTGCATACCCTTCGGGGTGTCCTTGTGGAAACAAATATCTGAGATTCTTCTAGATTTGATGTATTGTTACCATGGAACCCACCGCAGTGAATCAGCCCGTAATGAATGAGGGTCACAACATTCCACTTCTTTGGAAAATAAGATACTTAGAAAAACATGATGCTGTCGAAGTTTTAGAATCTGCTCCTTGGTGCGTAGTGAGTTTGAGCATGCTCAGTAAACAAGAGCCCTACCCCATCCTTACTCCATTTGTTCTGATTCGTCTTATTCCACTGTACTGACGGTTGCATGTGCATGTCCTGAAGGATATGGAGAAGGCCTCAGCTTTGCAGAGAACCTTCATTAAAAATGGTTGCCCAGAATGTAGCCTCCCCTTTCTAACACTTGAGTTATTAAAATATCCATGTTGTTTGACTTGTTCCTTTGGAGTCTGCATCACTTTGCATGGTTTTCCTGACATGAAAGTGAAGAATATTTGAACAGATAACTGAACATAGAAAGCTGACAATTGCCTGTTTGCTCAAACTGGACAAACTTTGCCACTCAGTAATATTATGGGGTGGAAAGTGGCCATGGAGCTAAAGCAGATTTGACTACTAATACTTAAATTATTATTTTTATGTTATGTATATTACCTTGTTAATTTATTGATGATGATAATTTTGCAGAAAACTTAAATTAGCAAATACCCTCAATTGAGTGACAATGTCCTACCTGACAGCAGCGTGAAACGAGAAAGATCTTCCTTGGTAATCCCTAGTAATCCCTTTCATTGTTCAAGTTTGTTTATGCATCTAATTATGAGAAGGATAAACAGAATAAATACCCCCTTTTAAACTAGTGTTTGGAACCAATACATGGAATGTTCTGCTGGTTTCCAAGAGGTGGCTTAGTGACGCCTCAGAAAGGATGTGTGTTTAAAAGGGTTACGTGTGTTGATACTCTTCTGTTGGGTTGCAGCAGTAGGTATACACAATCATTTGTGGCCAGTAGATAATGGTGGCCAGTAGATAATGGTAGGGGGAAAGCTGACATGGAACAAATCCAAAAATAAATGTAATACTTCTGCTGGATCTACTTCGTATTGACTTCTGTGTCACAATAAAAGTGCATTCTTTAGAGAAGCACTAATTCCTATAGAAAATGTTGAGAAACTTGAAGACAAAAGCTGTGTGGTTGACTTGTCATTTTCTCTCTCATTTTTATATCACACGAGCTCCTTTCCTTTCCAGGATTTTAGTCAATTATGGGGCTGTTCAGGAAAAGATGCTGTTTTGATTGTTACTGTTCTGTTGGAAAAGAAGAAACCTACCACTTTTTCTGAGTTCCCTGTTCCAAATAAGGGGTATAGAGAACTGAACTGCACTCTCCCTTGCCTTGTCTTTGAGGGTAGTGTTAGAGGAAAACTACCATCCAGTGGGATAACTGTATATATTTAAGGTGTATTTTACTAAGGTGAAAGACTTCACTCCAGTGAGAACTTTCCTGAGTATCTGGGATCTGACTAGCGAGAGATTTTCCTGCATGTTGTCTTGTCTGTTTTCTTCATTCTTCAGCATTGCTGTGCTGCCTGGGCCTCTGCATGGTTGCAGCATCCAAAAGCTTGCACCAAGCCTCTCATTCTCCTCTCTAAATTGAATGGATACTTGACAGTTTTACCTTTCCAATTTCTTTCTGCTGTCTCATGGTGTTTTTTCTGAAGTAGGATAATCTGTTTAGCATCCCTGATTATTTTCTCATGAACACTTCGGTGCTTCTTCACAGTGTTTGCATCAGTGTTCAAATAAAGCTTTTCCATATTGCTTAGAGGTGTCTCCCTGCAAGTTACACATCATCCATTTGAATAAGGGAGGGTTGAGAGAGGAGGTGTTAGCTGCTGCTGGGGTTCCTAATCAATGCACTTTCATTCAGCTTTGCATGATGGTATAAAAGAATATAAATGCTGGGTCTGATGGGAAAAGCTTCTTTTGTTTTCAGGGTATTTCGGTTGTATTATCCTTTTACCAGCACCTTTGAGGACGGTGGTAGTGGGTTGTTCATAAAATGTCTCATTGTTTAATGTGGGGAAGTATTTGTGTGAATAAATGAGAAGACAAACACTTTTATATTTCTAAAGGATTGATTTGATCAAACAGGAAAAACAACAACCCATATTTTAAATATATATTCAGGAAGTTGTAGTAAATGCATTTTAATAATTAGAAAATATCCCTTAGAGTTTAAAATGCTTGTCTTGTCCTGAGGCTAAAGTTTTTTCCAGGTATGAAGATTGCAGTACTGTGAAGTTTCCTACAGTTATGGGAGGTTAAATATTAGATTAAATCTATGAGGATTACATAATAAAGCAGACCAGCATTGTACTCTACTGAGAATGGCTTTAGGTTAGAAAGTGGCTTGCGAGGCTGAAACCAGGAATAACAGTGATCTTAGCTTCAACGAAAAGGGTTTCCTAAAAGGGAAAGGGACCCAAAAAACCCCATCTGTAAAGCTGTTCTGCTTTCTGCTTCTGAATAGGGCCGGCGCTTCCACTAGGTGACCCTAGGCAGTTGCCTAAGGCGGCAGGATTTGGGGGGCGGCATTTTGCCGCCCTCGGCGGAAATCTGGTGGCGGGGGGTCCTTCACTCACTCCGGGACCCGCTGCTGAAGTGCCCCGAAGACTCGGAGCGGAAGGACCCCCGCCACCGCCGAAGACCCCAGGCCCCCTGAATGCTCAGAGGAGGAGCGCTGCCGCCTAGGGCGGCAAAAACCCTGGCACCGCTCCTGCTTCTGAAATACGATGCATAGCCAAGCTAGATATTTTTGCATGGTGAAGGAGCACCAAGAGCAAAGTACTGGCCTCAATAGGCTGCCGTGTAACTCGAAAGTTTAAAGACAACTTGTTACCTTTGTCAGTGCACTGACAACAGTCTGTGGAAGGGTAGGTTCATTCCTGTATGTTAGACTCATAAACCTTTTGCCACCATTTAAGTAGCTTCAGATAATCTCTTTGGTATGTGCCAGAGCAGAGTGAGCAAACTGCCACTGGAATAATGCAGCAGTTGAAGCTGTCAAACATGTACACTTCCTGAGGTTTCCCGCAAGCAGTCATACTTAGGGTTATCACAGGGAAATCTGAAATTCTTACAAATGGAAGGCCTTATTTAAAACAAAAAAAGGTGAAATTTTGCTTTTTTAATCTTGAAAGTAAGACAGCTGGAGTGAAAATGAGCTCACTTTCACTCAAATGCAAAAACTACAATTTTTGAAATTCAAAGTCCTGTTCAGATACGTGAGAAATGCATATTTTGTCATGTTTTGATGTAAAAACTACTTTATGAATTTCCTTGGGGTTTCAAAATGGCCTGAAACAAAATTGCATTTTTTATGAAAATACTTGCTATTTTTTGTACAATCCTTTTTATGGTATAGGACTGAAAGCAAACACTTAAGAAGTAAATGCATCTGTTTCCTTAGTAATGGAAAATAAGGGAGCAAAATGAAAACCACAAACTAGAAGTAGTTTGCGAAGGAACCTGCTGCCAGTAAATACAGCCAGTAAACCAGCAGAGCTCATCCACCTTTGCACCCTGTCAAGTCAGTCTTACTTCCAAAGGTCACTGACTTAATACACTCCAGGTATGTCTACACTGCAGTTAGACACCTGCAGCTGGCCTATGCCAGCTGACTCGGATCCGGAGAAGGGTCTGTTTAATTTTGGTTTAGATGTTATGGGGACCCTGCCACCTCGCAGGGTCTAGAGCCTGGGCTCCAGCCCAAGCCCGAACATCTATACCAGTTAAACAGACCCTGAGCCCAAGCCCCATGGGCCAGCCATGGGTTTTTAATTGAAGTGTAGACATACCCTCACAGTTGGGTTTTAAACTCCCAACTTTCAAAACCAGACTTCAGGCTGCATCCTAGGAAACCGAGGCCACCTCTAGGTATTCTCTGTTCTCCATTCATGGCCTGGAGTGATAGGTTTCTGTTTGACAGGCAGGTCCTGTTTAGAAGCACAAAGTCTCTTCCACAGTGTGCAGCACTTTGCAGCTTAATCTTGTATTCCATATACAAAGAGGTATTTTATAGATAGAAGATATTTAGGCAGCCAGGTTACAAGTGATATGATGGAAGCCAGCTTCATGTAATTGCTGGAAGTGCAAGGAGGACTGGGGTTTGGGGGAGAGATGACAATTAGGAGTTAGGGTTTATCTCCAGGAGAAAGTTTAGTGACATTATGTGCCAGTTAGCATCTGCTGAAATCTACTACACCTGCAGGCAGGGTGGCAATTGGTGACCAGTGGTCTGACCTGTTCCTAAAGGTTGCTGAGCTCTTGCAACTCACATGGACTTCAGCAGGAGCTGCATTTACTGTACTCAGTACCTCTCGGGATGCAGCCCTAAATCAGGATAAAAATAGTAAACTAGGCTGAAAGGATGAGTGAAGGGGTTGTGGAGAATCCTTCAGACTGAATTGGCTAATGGATTGGATAGTCAAGCAGAGTTGTTCAGATGCTCACAATTATCTGTGCCTCTACTAGTAATGCTGGAGCTGATCAGTTCTACAGAAGGTGGTGAAATAATACAGATGAGAGGTTTACCCAGATAAAAAGTACATACACAAGAGGCTCTGATTCTCCTCTCACTTGTGTAAACAAAAGCGTAATAGATTTATACAAGTGTGAGAGAACCGGGCACAGTGCATATGAATGGAACAGAGAATAAATAAACCATATGGAGTCTGATTTTTCATATTTACACGTGTAAATCAGGAATAACTCCCTTGAAGTGAATGAGGCTACATCAGTGTAAAATCAGGCAAGTGAGAGGTAAATCAGGCTGCTAGTAGAGAGTACTGGAATTTGGTGCTGACTAAAGTTACTATCCACTATGTAGAGGGAAGATTTTTGGTTGCAGGAATCAGTTAACAAGTGGAAAAGTGTTTGGATCAGAAAATGAAGTTTGTTTTTAGTGATGTTTTGTTTACATCTGTACACATCTACTTCATGTAACTTGACTGTTTAGTTTCTGGGTCTGATTTGTTTGTGTTGGGTTTTTGTAGATACTGAGGGTATAAATGGAAGAGAGGAATCCGTGAACCTCAATGATGCTGACGAAGGATTTTCATCAGGAGCTTCCCTTAGTAGCCAGCCAGTTGGGACCAAGCCTCTATCATCCTCATCCCAAAGGGGCAGTTTAAGGAAAGCTGCAAGTGGGCGTTCAGCTAAGGATAAAGAAACATCATCTGCCACTAAATCCAATGAGAGCCCTCGAGATTCAGTAGCTCGGAAGCAGTACCTGCACCAACCAACTGACCTTACTGCAGAAACAATTGAGATGACACCTACAAAGAAACACCTCAGCTTGCCTGCTGGGCAGGTGGTACCAAAAGCCAGTAGCTTGAGCCTGATCCGGACCGCCAGTGCTTCCTCCAGTAAATCATTTGACTATGTGAATGGTGGTCAAGCAGCTTCCATTGTTGGGGTTGGCACTGAGGGTGTTACTAATCTAGCAGCTGGCAATTCCAATCGGTTTTCAACTATCAGTCTACAGGAGGACCGGCTAGGCCAAGCTGGGGAAGGTAAAGATCTCCTTACCCCAGGGGCTCCCCTTACCAAGCAGTCTCGATCCCCAAGTTTCAATATGCAGCTGATATCCCAGGTGTAGCTTTGACTCCCCTCTTCCTCTTTAACCAACAGACAGTTCATCCTTGGGCAAAAACAAGAACCTTCATCCCACAGTGTGAAAATACTGACCAGTGTGATCTCATTTGATTCAGTTTAGATATCATCCTGTATTTTGTATGAAACAGCAATAAATCTCCCCTCACTCCCAGTCCCCACCCCTTGTGAACATGGTTGTGAAGCAGTATAAAATGTACTGTATGCCTTTTCCACACCTTCCTTTCTCCTTGGGTGATGTGCAATCCATCGTAGGCTGATCAGTCCCATTTCAACACTGTGAGACTGGTGATATTGGAGGAAATGGTGAATGTGATCCCTATGAGATGATGCTTTGGCTTTGTTAAGAAATAGAAACGGGTTAGTTTTATCAGTCTACAGTACTGCAAAGACTATTGGATCATGATTTTTCTTAGAACCAGGAGTGCCTCAGAGATTCTAATGTGACTTTGGACCTCTCTGAGTTTGTGCAATCAATTCTGGGGGAGGGGAATGTCATTGTTGCTCCTGGCTGACCAATGCACTTTTCCATTAAAATGAGAATTGTTCTTTTCCTTCCCCACCCTCACCTCCACTCTCCTACTTCTGAAACTCTTCCTGTTCAACAGTGGAGACATGCCTATTACCAAGTCGTTGCCCCTCAGATAAAGAGAGGGCTGTAAGTAGAGAACGTAGGTCACAGTGTACTACTTATGGCGTTGTAGCCATATTTATGTTATATGTCTTCCCCTCCAGGACACAGGGTCATTCCGCTTACACACTGGAATTTGGAAAGGCCAAACCTGTTGAAATAATTCAAAAGTGGGAAGGAGAGATACTTTCCCAGAAATAATTAACTACTAGCTCTGCTTCTGTTTGTGTGAGGTGATGATCACTGACTTGAAACAAGCGCATCTTCAGGTAAACAGAGGGATTCTCAGGCTGCATTCTGTGGTATCATAGCTGTTAGGGAGCCCCCCTCCTGCTTTCTTAGGTGTTCCTAGCTCAGTCACAGCATAGATTAAGAAATCTGTAGTCCAGACATAATCCTCCAAGGAGATGCATCAGGGATTGAGATAAAGGTTTGCTGGAAACACTGAAGCGTCAATGTGCAACACTCTCTAGAAACAATGTTGGTATAACGGGGTACTCAGTCTTTTCTCCCAGAAGGACCACACTTCACTGCCTTTGTATTTACAATCCATTGCATTTTGTAAATATTATCTGATCATTTTGCTGACGGAGGCAGGCAATCTCCTAGAAAACTCTGAACTCATGCCATTGAGCCAAGTCCTGAATCTATGTGATTGATGTATGGGCAGCAATTGGTACCTGTGCTAGAGATCACTACTTAAAAGTACATTTCTGATTACAAAGGAGGATGTTCATCATATTTTAGCCTGTGTCTTTCTTTGGAGAACTAAGGAGAGAAGAGGAAGCTCAGTCTTTTTTCTCTACTCTGTTGTGACCTGGAAGTTTACAGGGCATTAACCCCTGGAACAGATTAGAGTTACATTTTTTCATTATGTAGGCACTTTTGTTTTATAATTTTCACTGTGAAAAAATATACACAAATGGCTACAAATAACAGGCTATCTTTTGATTTATAAAGATTGTACGAAATTCAGAACTAAAATGGCATTACATTGCTAGTGGTTATTTAATGGGTTGGTTGTTTAAATGTTATTTCGAGCTTTCTATTCTTCTCTTTTTAACACCCTCATTTCAAGTAGCATTTTTCCAAAGTGACTTTCAAACTTCTAGTTTAAACAGGTAAAGGAAGACATTTTTATGGTTAAATGAGTTACTTGGTCACTTAATCTTCATATTTCACATTCAAAGAGGAATGATAACATTAAACAGCATTCAGAATTATGCCAAAATTTCAGTTAAACACAAACATTCAGTTAAGAAAAAGGAAAAAAACACTTTATTGTCTCTTTAAAAACTGCAGCTAAGTCTCAAGGACTGCCAGGGATGCATAAAGTGACAGAACAAAGACAAAATCAGGAGTAGCCAAGAGGTAGTGCCCTTGAGTAAAGTTGACCTAAAAAATATGTACTGTGAAAAATAGTGATGCTTCACAACATAGCAAGAGATGGCTACACTTGTCAGTTTATTTTCTAGAGTACTGGCAATGGAGACACTTGATATGATGGCTGTGGTTGTGCAGAAGCTTGTCTGATGTTTTTAAAGAGGAGTAGAGATGTATTCGGAACAGATTAAACCAAAAAAAGGAAATATTACTGAAGATAAATATAATTTCAAATTGATAAGGACCAAATTATTCCTTTATATTAGTTCTTGAGGTGGAAATGTAAGTCAGGCGGTCAGGCTAGTTTTGGAAGAATCCCAATATATTTTTTCAAGTGTTTATTATATGTGTGTGTGTGTGTGTGTGTGTGTGTGTGTGTGTGTATATGTATATATATATATATTATAGTAGAGGTATATACAAAAAAATACATAGTGATGTTTGTTAGCTCTGCTATCGAGGTTCTATATTTTCCATTGTTAGTTTTCATCTAAGGGATTTATAACTCTTCTAAAAATTTTGCATCAGGCTAAAACTTACCAAATAAATTTCCATATCATGATCCATTTCTTTTACAAAATGCAGTTAAACCAGTTCAGCAAAATGAAATAGTCCTGTGATTTCAAATGGGGAGTCAAATATGGGTGCTCAAATTTGAATTAAGATTTGGTCACTTTTTTTAAACCAGTTTTGCAGGTATTTAGTCCTTATTTTGGTGGAGTGCCTTTTGTTATATTTTATAAATCTGTTATAAGTATTCGTTAATCTGCTTTTGTGTATATGCACACTACTTTTGCTATAATATGCTTTTTGATAGAGTTCAAATTTTGTCCCTATTAACACCCTAGATGTTCCACACTATGGACTGACATGATGCACCATAACTTGTCCAAAGGATCCTTTGAGTGCTTCGTGTCAGACGTTCAGTGATAACCTCTCTGTGTTCTGGAATGACTCATCCATTAACACAAATGAAGCAGCCATTATAATGTGTCATGTCAGTGCTATATATCATTAATGTTTTTAGATGTGTCCATCAATCCATGTCAAGATAGTTGTGAAATATGATGTACTGAGCTTCAGTGAACTTCAAAGTACTGTGGCATTAATTGAAATGGAAATGCTTGGGATACAAACAAAGAATAATCAGAGTTGACTTTGGAGGGTATTGTCTGCTACTGTTAAACTAAGTACAAAACTATTAAAATAATAGGTTTCTGATAACTGTGACATAGATTTAGACTTAAGTTCTTTATCCTTACCTCACTCTATTGTCTCTCCGTAATTATAATGCATTTGGTATGTAACATCATGCACTAGTTTTAGACCCTTGCAATAGTTGAATACAGTTGCAGTATACAAGAGGTCAGAATGCAGAATACGATATTCCTCCTTATCTGAGATAGTATATATGCACAACTCTGAAGTGGGGAACCATGGGTACTGTAGCTAGGTGTAGATACAAATTTAAGTAAGGATAAATGTATTATCCCTTGATTTTAGCATAACTGTGTACAATAATATGCTGGCATTTGTAACTCATTTTTTTCCTGGGGCTTCATAATTTAAGGAAATATAAAATAAGTGGCTGCTAATTAAATCTTTGATCAGCTTTTAAGCTATTTTAAGTGGCTTTTTGGTTGAGCTGTGAGCCATTTTTCATGCAGGCAGCAAGATGACAAGTAATAGCTGTTTAAACAAATGTTGCAAGTGAAGATTAAATACTCCACTATCCATCCATTTAGTTTAGTTTTCAGAATATTGAGACATTGTACCTTATTGTACATCTCAAATACAGATTTGTGTTGTGACCTTGAAAAAGCTTTTTTAGCAGTGTGAACAGCCTGTCCTTCCATTCTGTAGCAGTGAACATTTTATCACACCAGTTATGTATTATATCAGATATTTGTAGGGTTTGCAAATATAATAGTCTCAGATACATAAATCTGACATTTCCAAATACATTCTCATATTTCTCTTACTAGCTTTTAAGGTAATTAAAATCATCTGCTTTGACATTGGAATAGTGAAAATATTGTTTTCTGACAAAATATTTTATTTGCACTACTTTTGTGAATAGTAGAATGTACTGGGGAAGAGCTTTTTCTCACCATGTGAGGTTTGTGTGTGGGTAGGTACATACATTTGTCACATGTTGACAATCAATTGCCTCAGTTGTGTGTGTATTGTATATAAATGTAAACATATTAGAAAATTATGGGGGTAAAATCCACTACTAAATAGTGGCAAATACAAAGTGGGTTGCTTTACTTTTTGGATAACTAGTAATTAATTTTAAAACTTAGTTCAAGGGGGAAAAAAATTCAAAATAATGATAAAAGGTTCACAAATATATTTTGAAGATTAATTTTGGAACAGATTATTCTACACTGAGGCGATTTTTAAATCAACAGTTTAAACTTTTTTGTCCTTCCAGATAAGCCAGTTGCTACCTGCTTTTAAGTTTTAAGGCGTTTTAATTTTCTTAAACCTGGAAACAATTCAGACAAATGGATTGATAAGTAATTTCAGTTTGATTTTTTTTAATCAAAAATAAAAAACTCTTGAAAATCAAAACGATCTGAAGATGGAAATGACCAAATTGACTTTTCAAGAAAAGAAATTTTTGAAATTAAGTTGTACAAAATACTGTCCCCCTAAATTGTGGAAAAAAGTGATAAATAGAATATGAGCTAAGTTATTATTTATTATGCACTGTACAAACAGAACAAAAAGACAGTCTTGATATTTTAAATACTAAATCATACAAACCCTAAAGTTTTGCAATCTAGCATTGCCTAAGTCTACAGCATGTTACCTTAATATGTTAAACTTACTATCAAGTGCATTAGGTATATTTATTGTATCCATTGGCATTGTGAGAGTAGTTTGTATGTGGACAGTGAACATCTATTTTTATTTCTCGAGTCAGGAATGATTGCAGAACTCAAGGGGCAAAGCCAGAAGTAACCTGTGCCAGTCCATTCCAAACACGTAAAATAAAAAGGGTAAATTCACTGTAGTGTACATTCACTGAGTATTCAGCTTAAACCAGACCATACAATATTTGATATCTTGTTTGGTATTTTAAACTTAGTGTTTGTTTCTAGGACCTGGGCCTTATTGAAAATTCCCTTGTTTCTCCTCATTTATTCCTTATGGCATTTGGATAATCAAGGTTGTGCATTACCCGAACGTTTATTTAGATATTTTCTATGGCTGAAGTATAAATGAACATATAAACCCTTCTTTCAAAATTGTCATAATAGATCAGCTGAGAGCCCAGTATATATACCAGCCTATTACATTTTGATGGAAGACAATGGAGAGGAGTGGGGGAAACTGATCCGTCACTGGTACATCAAAACAAAACACCCCAAGTGAGTGTGAGAATAAGATTTTGCAAGGCTGGCATATATATGTTCATATGACCATTGCTAATATTTTTAATATGGCTTTTTAAAATCCTACCTTATTAAGCCCAGCTTACAAAGCATAAAACAGGAAGAAAGAAAATAGCTGTAGGCACTTAAAATAATGAGTAAATTTTACCTGAGGGTTGGCTAGGGTCAGTATCTGCGATAAGAATAAGTTCCATTTATTTTGTAGTTATCCCTAGAAGTCTAATATGGAGAACCTCAGATACAATCTGGATGAGAAATGAACTTTTATTAGTGGACAATCTATCCCAAGCCAGACCGTTTAATTCTAGATTGAACTAAATTAGATGCAAACTGCTGTTTCTGTTTCAAGATTTAGTGTGATCCCTATGGGAGTATAGAAAAGCAAATTCCTTTTTATCTTTCCTACATGCATGAGACAGTATACCAAAAGAGACCATTAAGGGACCAAATGTAATTAAAATGGGGTCCATCCTTCAATAAATTGTCCCTTCTAATGTAAAGGATTGCTTTTCTATTCCTGTGAGGAAACATGGATGGAAACAGTTGTACAGTTATTTTGGGATCCTGGACTACATTTTGAGCTAGGACTTTGTCAACTAATTATTTTGTCATGAATTCCTATTACAGGTTTACAAGCAGTGAAGTGTGAGCGAATAGAGCAGAAGACCCCTGTATTTTGACTGAATATTTCTGTCAAACTACATTTAAAAAAAATTGAATTTCCAAACAAAAAAATTAATCGGCTCTAGAAAAATCAAGTTAATTACTGAAATGTCTTCAAATGAGCAAATAGCTATATTGCATCTGTAACACAGATAACTAATAGTTTAGACATACCCTCCAATAAGACTAGACTCCTTTATGGTGCTTTGTCACTGTATCTTTATTTCAGGTGTAGGACAATTGATCCTGCTCTTTTCCAGCACTGAATAAGAAATTTAACAGGTTGATAGTAGCTTCTCTAAGTAAATTAAATTTCTTCTCCTTGACATTATAGGACTTAGGAGTGACAGAAAATAAGCTACTGAAATTTTTCCCTCCAGTTCAGACCATTCACTAGTCTTGCATATTTTTTTGTTTATGAAAAATGTTAATAGCAAAAAGTACATGGCTTCTAATTTGCAGTCAGTATGAGTTAGCAGTCACTCAGGATAAATTACTTGTCTTCGCAAAGTATTCATGGGTTTGCTAGTGGTCAAAATGTTTGTGTTCAGATATGACTTGGAAACACTACATTGCACTTTTCTGCAAGAAAACAGTAAATACTTTTGGGCAAGGGCATTACTAGTTGGTTATTTATGGAATGAAACCATGTAATAAAGTAAATAACCTTAAGAGAGTCATTTAACTGGAATCATTTTTCCATATCAAGGACATCAGGCAAAAGCTAGTAAAGATTTTGAATAATTAGGTCATCTTAACACAACACATTTTGGACTTACTATGGTAGCTTTTATTTGCTATAAGTAAACTGAGGTACCCCATGCTGAGTTTTTTAAATTTGTAATAAATTCCTCTACTTTACAATGAATCTTTTGAGTCTTACTGTTCGTGTAACAATATAGAATTTGCAGTCAGTTTGACTAGCAAAATGAAACAATCTGCAAGGATTGAGAGAGTATTTTCTTACTGTTTCTGTCATACAAGGTTTGTTTCTCTGAACTAAGGTTTCTGAAGGATTTTTACTACTTTGGCATTTTATGTAATCTTATCATTGTCACAAAAGGAATACAGGCAGCAAATAACCTACTTTCTGTGGACAAATCTGTTTGGCAAAAGGGCTTGAATTGTGTAGATGCCCTTTTTTCACCAGTGTGTAACCCTGCATGTTGGTATGCACTCACAAACATTCAGGATATAGTGCTGGTGAAAAACTAAACAGAATGGATAGTAAATGCAGTCTCTGTTGCATGATGTCCTTTAACCTGGGACCAGTGAAAAATCTTCATTCTTACAGAGCTGAAGATAACACACATTGAAGATCATGTTATTGGTGCATGTAAGCCATTATCTTAACTGTCTTACTGAAACTGGTTAATGCTGTTGATTGTTGTTGAAATGTGAAATGTAGTTACTGTTGACCTTGTATATATTTGCCAGAGATTAAAAAAATAAAGAATATTTTAAATCACTGTAAATAGAGATGTATAAAATGGAAAACAGTCTGCAATGCAGAAAATATATATATATATATATATACAATGTTAAATAAATATTGTGTTGTTTCTGGATGAATGTGTACACCTTGTGTCAATTCTATCTTTTAACCTGAGCATGGTTTTCTTGTTTAATATTTAGATTTGCTTCTGTTAAGGTGTCAGTATGTAGTGGATCTTTCTATACAGTTTCTTAGTGCCAATGGTCATTCATTTTACAAACTTAGATGATCTATGCTGAGCGCAGATACTGAGTGGCAAGGAGGGGGAGTATTGGACAATTAATATGCAGTATATCTCTGTCAACACTAATGGACCGTATTTCAGATTAATATCCTGCTAATGCCAATTTACCTGATAACTTTCCTTTGGTGTCAGTCTGTTGTGTAAATACTCTTTATCCCATACAAAAAAGAGTATTTTACTGATTTTATTTTTTCCAAGTAAACTTAATATGGAGTAAAGGAGGCTATCCTTGCAAAGGAACAGGAAGAAGAGGAAAGTGCAGAGAGTAAAAGGGAGGAAGAAAGCCCAGAGGACACAGGTGCTGAGAAGATAAAGTGTATCATTGTTACTGTTTTACAAATGGAATTGCATAATAACCAAGAGAGACTAGTTCTTCTGAAAATACTGGAATATGCTTAAATCTTTATATGGCGCACACTCCAGGTGCTGCTGAGTTCAGTAAACTAATTTTCTGTGAGCAGAGACAGAGGCCTTTCCACTATCTTGTTTATACAAATTTTATGGCCATGAAGGAAGACTTCAGTAGGAGAGGGGGCTTCTGCTCTAAATTTCAGATTGTGGAATCACTTTTTACACAAATAAGAACAGGAATGCTCCGCACATATCCTCATTGAAAGCCTCCTTTTAGTCAGACACCTGCTTCAGCATGTAGAATAATGCTTCTGCTGTCATTAAGAATTGGAATTAATTTCAATACAGATGTCATTTCTTCATCTCTGAAATGTAGCTAACTTGGGATGAAACATGGCAGCAGTTTAACAGTATACACTAGTTTTATGCTACAGTTTGATCAGAACTTAAGTAAAACATAAAGTTCACCAATCACTACTTTTAGGGAGGGAGAATGTAATTTCCAGAGTTGGAATTTGACCAGTACTCCCCATGCAACTTTTAGGAGACTGCTAGTGTCCTCCTTAACGATTTAACATGCCTTGTTGCTTTTTTTTATTTACTTGTTTTTGTAAGCAACGTTTTTAGTGTTCGGGAGGGCGGCTTGCAAAGCGGGCAGGTTCCATTCACCAAGAACAGAGTTGGTTTGGTATGAGCGTCCCAGGTAATTTGGCTTTGTGGTAACCTCCAGAGAATGCCACATGTTGATAGTTGAAGATGTAACCCCATTTGTTAAATGAAACAAAGGGGTAGGAAGCATTCGAGTAACTAGGATCATCATACATAAAGGGTTTCTGCACATGGCCTCGTTTTTGAGCTTCCTGTCTCTGTCAGGGCAGGGTTTTCAAATAACATGAACTGTCCAGGGCCCTCGGCGGGTCCTTTTGCAGAGCATAAAGAGCCCCATGCGTCCATTCCCCTGCCCCCGCAGCTGGTTGGTCTATAGTCCCCTGCAAACTACAGCTGCTGGATCCCACCTCCCCACCGCGCTGAGGAAAGGGGGCCCTTAGGGAGGCGCTGACTGACGACTGTCGCTGGGTCCCGGGCTTGCTGCCCTGCCAGGGAGCCCTAGTGCCCCCGACCTGCAGTGATTGCCCCCCACGGGTATCTTTCTGCTCCCCCGCCCCAGCGTCCGCCTCTTGGGAACCCGACCTATGGCGCCCCTACAGCGCCACCGGTTAAAGGCGTCTCTGAGCCAGGGCGCTTCTAGGTGGCGCGTGAGCGGCCCGGGCCGGCTCCCCGCGCGCTGCCCGGCACAGGCCGGCCCTGCCCCCGGGGATCGCCTCAGGAAACGGTTCTGCATCGCAGGCGGCTCCCGCCGGGCGGCAGAGGCGCAGCGCGGGCCCCGCTGTGAGCGGGTCGGTGGCTAGGGGCCCTCCCGAAATTACACAAGGCGCCGGGGGCTCGTATCGGCCTTACGAAGGGGCCGGTGTGACGACACGTACTGGGAGCGGGAGCTGTTTGTGTCGTGACGCCGGCGCGCCCTAGGCGCAGCCCCGAGGACCGGGCCCCACCATCCCCGGCTCAGCAGTAAGTCAGTGGCGCGAGGCGGGAGGGTTCAGTGCCGTGGGCCCTAGCTCCCGCCCATGGCTATGGCGGGCCGGGCCGGGCCTAGGCCCGCCCTACCCAGGGTACCCAGGGGCCGCGCCGACACGGTGCGTGCCCCGCTCGCGCGCCCCGCCCCCTAGCCGAGGGCTCTCGGCGCCTCCGCTCAGGAGGTAGAAGGGGGAGGAGCCTGGGGGCGGGACACCTTCCTGGCCACGCCCCTGTAGTGGTTGGTTGAGGGCGAGTACCTCCTGGGACGGGCGGAAGGGGCCAGCCAGAGGCGATGTTGATTTGCTGGCGGGAAGATCGATCTCGCGCACCTGCGTTTCCTATTGGTGCAGCGCAGTCCCCGCCTCCTGTTGCCCCCCACCGGGAGGGCGGTAGATTCGCGCTGTGCGGCCCAGAGCCCGGAAGGATGCGCCTCGTTCCGGCTCGTGCCGCTGCCACCCGCCTTGGAGCCTGCTGTGAGCCGCGGGGGCGGGGCGGGGCTTGGGGGCGGGGCTCGAGGCAGCTGCAGCCTCCGTCTCCAGTTCCGCGGGCAGCTGGGGGCTGGGCCCCCCCCTTGCAAAGTCTCCGTGCCCAGCCCCTGGCTGTAAGGCGGCTGTGGCGGGCGGGTGCACGTGGTGCTTTACTGCCCGGAACGGGGGGGTGCATAGCTGCGGGTTTGCATGGTGCTCTGGGGGGTGAGCAGTGCCCGGCCGCTTTTACCCACGGAAGCTTATGCCCAAATAAATCTGTTAGTCTGTAAGGTGCCGCCTTACTCCTTGTTGTTTTTGCAGTTAACGCTTGTTGGCATTGCAGGTTGTCTGCTATGAGTCAGCTGGAGTTAAAGAGAAACAAGGTCCTGGAAGCCAGGTTTGTGGCAGATGAAGATGTTCTGAAGCACATTTCTGATAACGGAGGTACTAGTGGTTTAAGCGTAAACAGGCACCTTGTTTTGCAGATATTGAAATGTATCAAGGGTCAGGGTCGTCAAAATGATGGTAGCCTCTGGGTGTCCAACTTCATCTTGGAGGGGTCTGATTGCTCAGAAAGCAAGTGCTCAGCACTTCCTGATAACTAGGCCTCTTTAAGTATCTGGAAACTGAGGCACCTAAAATCACTAGTTGCTCCTGAATCATTTTGAATGTTAATAATTTGCATATTCCCAGCAGCGGTAATGTCGTGTGAGCATCTCCTTTTAAAAACTTGGCTTGGGGTGTCTTTTTATGGTGTTGTGTGTGTGATCTTGTTAGACTTTATGGGACTCAAATCCTGATATGTGCAACTCTGCAGTGGCAGTTAACACTTCAGAATTGCACTGATGTCATCACTTATATGGATATTGAGAACTTGGTATGAAATTTAGAAGTAGCTATGAAACAAAAAAACAGTCATGTTAATGTCTCAGTACCAGATCCATTCCAAATCAGTGTTTGGCAGTTGGGACAGGTGCTGTTTTGAGTTTCTATATGAATGTTAAAAGCCAGAGACCTTCACTGCAGCTTTGGTTACTTAAATTGTAAGCATTTGAGACAGGGTCTGTGGTTTTTATTCTATTTGTACAGCCCCTATTAAAACTCTGAGGGGGCGTGAGAAAGGGGGTTGCTCCGAGGTACTACTGCAATACCATTAATTAATAATTATATTTAGCTTATCAGAAGTTACGGTTTTGTGGTTGTGATTCTAGGTGTTAAAGTTCGGAAGGACAGAGCTCAACTTGCGCTCAATGTAAAGAGATTTGTGAAGAAACTTGAGAACATTTCTGATGATGATGAGGCCCAGGAGATCATGGAAGAGCAGAACTATGTGGCTGTTTTGGGGGCATGTGCTGAAGGTATTTCTGGGGAAGATATAGCATGTGTCTAATTCAGAAAACTCTTGTAACATGTAAGTGGTGGGGTTGTTTGGCAAACAATTATTTGGCTTCAGGGAGTGATGCCCAGTGACCACGAACTTTGACAGTGTGTGGTTGAGTTCTAATGGTTCTTGGACTGCTTGTGGGCTTTTTTCCACTTCCATAACATAAACAGCCCTTTCAAGTCCAATGATAAAGTATTAGTCTTGACGCCCATGGCTCAGGAATATGTCAGTGCTTTTTATGTATCCATGAATAAGAAATCGTTAGGAAAGGGATAGATAATAAGAGAGAGAATATCACATTGCCTCTGTATAAATCCATGGTATGCCCACATCTTGAATACTGCGTGCAGATGGTGGTTGCCCCATCTCAAAAAAGATATATTGAAATTGGAAAAGGTTCAGAAAAGGGCAACAAAAATGATTAGGGGTATGGAATGGCTTCAGTATGAGGAGAGATTAATAAGACTGGGACTTTTCAACTTAGAAAAGAGACAACTAAGGGGGGATATGAAAGAGGTCTATAAAATCATGACTGATGCGGAGAAAGTAAATAAGGAAGTATTATTTACTCCTCAAAACACAAGAACTAGGGGGTCACCAAATGAAATTATAAGCAGCAGGTTTGAAACAAACAAAAGGAAGTATTTCTTCACACAGCCCACAGTCAACCTGTGGAACTCCTTGCCAGAGGATGTTGTGAAGGCCAAGACTATAACAGGGTTCAAAAAAGAACTAGATAAATTCATGGAAGATAGGTCTATCAATGGCTATTAGCCAGGATGGACAGGGATGGTGTCCCTAGTCTCTGTTTGCCAGAAGCTGGGAATGGGCAACAGGAGATGGATCACTTGATGATTACCTGTTCTGTTCATTCCCTCGGGGGCACCTGGCATTGGCCACTCTTGGAAGACAGGCTAGATGGGCCTTTGGTCTGACCCAGTATGGCCATTCTTATGTGTTTTCTAACAGATTCCTTGAGAAATGGCCCCAGTGCAGGTGGTGGTAAAATTTACTCGTTCCAGACTCCAAAACGTTCTGGCAAGATGGCAGAG